CCACCTCACCCCGCCCCACCTCACCCCCGCCCCACCTCACCCCGCCCCACCTCACCCCGCCCCACCTCACCCCGCCCCACCTCACCCCGCCCCACCTCACCCCGCCCCACCTCACCCCGCCCCACCTCACCCCGCCCCACCTCACCCCGCCCCACCTCACCCCGCCCCACCTCACCCCGCCCCACCTCACCCCGCCCCACCTCACCCCGCCCCACCTCACCCCGCCCCACCTCACCCCGCCCCACCTCACCCCGCCCCACCTCACCCCGCCCCACCTCACCCCGCCCCACCTCACCCCGCCCCACCTCACCCCGCCCCACCTCACCCCGCCCCACCTCACCCCGCCCCACCTCACCCCGCCCCACCTCACCCCGCCCCACCTCACCCCGCCCCACCTCACCCCGCCCCACCTCACCCCGCCCCACCTCACCCCGCCCCACCTCACCCCGCCCCACCTCACCCCGCCCCACCTCACCCCGCCCCACCTCACCCCGCCCCACCTCACCCCGCCCCACCTCACCCCGCCCCACCTCACCCCGCCCCACCTCACCCCGCCCCACCTCACCCCGCCCCACCTCACCCCGCCCCACCTCACCCCGCCCCACCTCACCCCGCCCCACCTCACCCCGCCCCACCTCACCCCGCCCCACCTCACCCCGCCCCACCTCACCCCGCCCCACCTCACCCCGCCCCACCTCACCCCGCCCCACCTCACCCCGCCCCACCTCACCCCGCCCCACCTCACCCCGCCCCACCTCACCCCGCCCCACCTCACCCCGCCCCACCTCACCCCGCCCCACCTCACCCCGCCCCACCTCACCCCGCCCCACCTCACCCCGCCCCACCTCACCCCGCCCCACCTCACCCCGCCCCACCTCACCCCGCCCCACCTCACCCCGCCCCACCTCACCCCGCCCCACCTCACCCCGCCCCACCTCACCCCGCCCCACCTCACCCCGCCCCACCTCACCCCGCCCCACCTCACCCCGCCCCACCTCACCCCGCCCCACCTCACCCCGCCCCACCTCACCCCGCCCCACCTCACCCCGCCCCACCTCACCCCGCCCCACCTCACCCCGCCCCACCTCACCCCGCCCACCTCACCCGCCCCACCTCACCCCGCCCCACCTCACCCCGCCCCACCTCACCCCGCCCCACCTCACCCCGCCCCACCTCACCCCGCCCCACCTCACCCCGCCCCACCTCACCCCGCCCCACCTCACCCCGCCCCACCTCACCCCGCCCCACCTCACCCCGCCCCACCTCACCCCGCCCCACCTCACCCCGCCCCACCTCACCCCGCCCCACCTCACCCCGCCCCACCTCACCCCGCCCCACCTCACCCCGCCCCACCTCACCCCGCCCCACCTCACCCGCCACCTCACCCCGCCCCACCTCACCCCGCCCCACCTCACCCCGCCCCACCTCACCCCGCCCCACCTCACCCCGCCCCACCTCACCCCGCCCCACCTCACCCCGCCCCACCTCACCCCGCCCCACCTCACCCCGCCCCACCTCACCCCGCCCCACCTCACCCCGCCCCCTCCAGGGTATCGCGGTGACGCACCGTGGCGAGGTGCTTCTGGTGGAGTGCTCCGCTAACAGGGTGGGAAGGGGTTGAGGTGGGGGGGCTTAAGCTGTCGGGGGTGTCGTAGTACGGCGGTGCCCAGCATACCGGTAGCCACTACAGTTTGTAGTATACCCTCATCCTTTCCGCCATCACATCCTTACTACCACTACCTCTCCTGCCCCTCATCCCTTCCTCCTCCCTCCCTTCCTCCTCCCCCCAGGTCCGTGTCATCTCTGCGCGCCTGCACTCCCCGCACACCTACCTGGCAGCCACCAAGTCAACATTCGTGGCCGACATGCTGGGGCTGCTGGCGCGCGCGGATGGGGCGGACGTCACCTTCGTGGTGCGGGGGGGTTGAGGGGTGGAGGGGTGGAGGGGTGAGGGGAGAGGGAAGAGGGGCAGTACGGCAGAGGAATGGGAGGAGCAGGTGAGTTTAAGTCCAGCAGGTATCTTACTGGTATCACCGCCATGAGGGTTGTACGACTGGGGGGACAACGAAGATGCCGTACGTGGTTTCCCCCTGCTCCTGTCTCCACTCTGCCTCCCCCACCCTCACCCTCACCCTCACCTCACCCTCCCCACCCCGCTCCCCAGGTGGGTGGCGAGGAGCTGCGCGCGCACCGGTGGCTGCTGGCTGCCCGCTGCGACTGCTTCGGGCGCATGCTGGCCAGCGACTGCCTGGAGGGGCGCACCGCCAGCGTGGAGGTGCGCGACTGCAGCGCCGCGGCCTTCAGGGAGTTCCTGAAGTGGGTGCGGGAGGGGGGTGGGGGTTAAGTAGAGTGGGTGGGGTGGGGTTAAGAGGAAACGACTCACGAGGCAAGGCTTCATGGGGTGTGTGGGGGGTGGGGTTGGGGAGGAGAGGGAGGGGTGTGGTAAGACGTGCTGGGCCTTCTCTCCTTGGCATGGCTTGTGCATCATTAAGAGCTGCCGGTATGTGGGTGCCAGTCAAGCTGCTAACACCCCGCCCCCTCCCTTCCCCCCTGCATGCATGCATGCATGCATGGTTCGGTATGGTCCTTGACTTCCCCCGCTCCCCCCCCCCGCGGCCCCCCCGCCCCCCCACCTGTCAGGTACCTGTACACGGACCAGCTGGAGTTCAAGGGCGATGTGGTGCTGGACGTGCTGCTGCTGGGGCGCAAGTACATGGTGGGGCGGGTCTTCCAGCACTGCTGCAGCCAGGTACGTGCCGGCGGTACGGCAGGCGAGGGGAGGGGCGGTACGGCATGACACATGGGGCGCATGCGGGAGAGCTGTCCGCTCTGTTATGTCTGCTCTGTACCTACCACTGGCATGCATGCATGTGCGCCACCAACCATGCGAGCACCACCCGTGCTGCTGCCCCACTGCTGCTGCTGCTGCCCCCCCCCCCCCATGCAGGTTCGCCGGGGTCTGTGCGGTCAGAACGCGATGGCGCTGCTGTCCTGGGTGGACGAGCACCGAGTGGAGGAGCTGCGGCCGCAGGTGTTCAGGTGGGGCGGCACCTCCTCCTCTCTCCTCCCTTCCCCACATGCGCTCACCGCATGAGTCGGGATTTGGGTTTGGGACTCCGTTGCTGCACTTGTCATTATGCTCCCCCCCTACCACACGGTAGTCATTCGGTTACGTTGTTTCTTTCTTTCTTTACCTCCCTTCCTCCACCCCTCCCCCTTCGCCTGCACTTCTCATATATGCTCCTTCCACCCCTCCACCCCTCCCCTCCCCAACCCCCCAAAGGTACGTATTGCAGCACCTGCGCCACATCCTGCGCAAGTACCCCGCCAGCCTGGTGCACCTGGAGGCACGCCCCGACCTGCTCATGCAGCTGCTCATGGCACAGGCGGCGGCGGAGGGCGGCGCGGCACCGGCGGCGGTGACGCATGCGGCGGCTAGTGCGGCGGTGGCGGCGGCGGCGGCAGCGGCGGGCAGCAGCGGAGGGGGCGGAGGTGGGGGAAGTGGTGCGGGTGTGGGTGGGGGCAGCAGCGGCTCGGCTGCTGCGGCGGTGACGAGCGCGTTTGCGGGTGTGAGCAGCGGAGTTAACGGCTGTGGTAGCGGCGGTTAGAGGGGGTGGATGTGGGGGTGTGCAGGGGTGCAGGTATCGAGTCTGTGGTGTGGTGTGTTGGTGGGCTGGAGGGCTTCTGAATAAGGGTCACATACGTGTCATTGCTTTGCAGTAGCAACTTTGAAGCAGCAGAATGAACACACTGATGAGAGCTAGCAATGTGGGTGGCTGTTTGTCTGCGTTAATATGTGCATGCATGCATGCTCATGCATGCATTACGGCTGCTGGAAACCTATTAGCCTACCTTGCCAGCAGCAGATCACGCTACTACTAAAGCGTCTACTGGTGACTGTACCCCGTGAGTGCCTCCTTTCTACTCCTTTCTCCTTTCACGGGATGGCGGGTGGCTCGAAGGCTGTGAGGTGGCGGACTGTTGTTGGGATGAGCTCGTTCACATGGTCTGTTTGAATGAACGATTGTGGTTTGGATCGATGGGGGCAGGCGCAGTGTGTATGTACGGCACTCCTCTCTCGATGGCACGGCAGCGCTTCACATCATTCATATTGTCATACTTGTATCTCCGTATGTGTTCACAGATGGAAAAGGCCCACTAATAGGGCTAAAATGCACGCAGTTCCTGAACTACCATGAAGCCTAAAACCGCTTAGTTGGCATGTTGTACAGGTTCTTTCCCATGGACGCATTCCTCCGCTGCTGCGCTTGTCTATGCTGTGTTTTGTGTGCAGTACACATCCCCGCCCCACTAGGGGGGAAGGCTACTGCTGCTTCTCGCCATTTCATGTTGTACACCATCCTTAGTTCATTAGGTATGCGCCGTGCCCCTTTATCTGTCTGTTTCTGGGCAGCTATCACACTGCCGTGCCCCAACGCTGGTTTGGCCAGCCAGTGTCACCGGGGTCCGTAGTGTTCTTAGCACCTTTGAAGTTAAACAGGACTAAATGCTTGGTGCTGCTGCTATCTGGGAAGATAGATGTGCTGTCCGAGCTGTTGCAGAGTTTAATCCCTGAAGTGGTAAATTTGGCTGATTTGGTGTCATGTGGAGGTGCCGTATGGTGGTGTATTAAACTGTAAACCTGTAACACACAACCCGCGACCGCATCCCACCTCTACCTGCTGTGTGGAGCGTCAATAACGCCCACAGAGCCCCGTCCTTGCTGCCTAAACCCGGCCCACACAGTCTGCGCCCGTCTCCTAGCTGTGTAACCCCCCAGCCCCAGCCCCTTTTTTCAGCAAGCGTGGTCTGCACGGCGCACGGTGCTCGCTGCATGCTAGCAGCTTGGTAGGAAACGCCGTAACGATATCCCAGCTGCGTGCCTCCCAGGTGGTGCATTTGGCGTTGTAAGGCCGGGCTGTGACCGCTGATCGTTTGTACGGCAATTTGGATCGCAGTAGTAAACAGCGAAGGCCTCATTCCGTCAATTGACTAGTAGAGCCAGCTTATGAAGTGATATAGGTTAAGAGCTGCTTATTCTATTGGGGTTAAACATAACCGAGCTGGACGTGCCAGGCCAATTGCTCAAATCATATCTGCAAGCTTCTACCCAATCAGTTACAGACATGAAATCAAAAGACATCTAGCATTCCAGTTTATAGAGAAGTTCTTCTTAATAGCCCCTTTGCCGTGACCTGCTGCAATGGCGGCATCTCCGTTCCAAGTAAGCTTAGACGAACGGGTGTTTTTATGAGCTGTGAACTCCGTATATGCATGGTACCATGTGATCACTACACATTGCACGGTGTTGACAACTAGCCATCGTGGATTGTTGCGCAGTTTGGGACGACAGCCGCGCCTCCAGCTAGCCCCTTCGGATTCTCTACAGCAAATGCTGCAGCAGCACCGGCGAGTAGCGCGCCTGCCTTCGGGGCGGCCGCGTCAGCACCCGCATTCGGGACGGGATTCAGCTTTGGGACAGGTGCCGCAGCGGCGCCGGCGTCCACACCAGCCTTCGGAGCGGCCTTCGGGGCAGCAGCTGCGAAGCCAGCCACAACATTTGGTGCGGCGTCGTCTGCACCCGCGTTTGGCGCGACTGCTGCTCCAGCCTTCGGAGCATCGACAGGAGGCGCATTCTCTTTCCCAACAGCCGCACCCGCAGCCACCAGCGCGCCAAGCCTCTTTGGAGCAACTACAGCGCCATCCCTGTTCGGCGCCTCCTCCGCACCAGCATTCGGGGCGGCTGCCTCCACGCCCTCACTGTTTGGGACCACAACAGCCCCTGCGACTGGGACCACAACAGGCGGCCTGTTCGGAGGTAGGGATGAAGAGGAGGGATATAGATCGTACACAGCGTGGGGGTAACTGAAGGTGGTGAGGTGCCAGCCATCCTAGGTTGGATGGACTCATCCTAGGGGCCTCACCAAGCCGGGCGGCGGTGGCCCTGACCTGCTGAGTTGAAAGCTCGCATGGCTTCCCGCACGTCCAACTCTTCCTCACCCTGCACCCTCGTCCTGCCCCCTCATCCCGGCCCCCAGCCCCCGCAGCTGCGGCCGCCGCCAACATCTTCGCCCCGCAAACCCAACAACAACAACAGCAGCAACAGACGGCGAACGTGTTTGGCGCCGCGGGGCAGGTATTTCAGCCGTCGGGCGCTCCTAATGTGCCCACCTGATGTGGGTCGCCCCACGGCTCCACACACCCTTCACCTTTGAGCAGCCCCGATCCTCCCTTCCACCGTGACACACGACACACCCATCCACCCGCGGTCTGACTCCTCCCTGACCTCGCCCCCGCATGCCCATCCTCCGCTACCGTGTACTACGGTCAGGGTCAGTGTTTCCGCGGCTCAGTTCTTCTAATTCCCCACCCCCACCCCCACCACCCGCCTCCCCCCCAGGCCGCCCTGCCCGGCCTGGTGGACCCCAGCGGCCTCACGCAGGACGACGCGGTGCGCTCCCTCACCCGCATAGCCGCCGCCTACAACCCCGCCTCCCCCGACTACCGCTTCCAAACGCTGTTCTTCTCGGTGGTGGAGCGCCCTGAGCAGCGGGTGAAGCCGCCGGGGGTGGACGAGAACCGCTGGAGGGCGGCGCTGGCAGCGATAGGGGGACCCAACAACCCGCAAAAGTGAGGAGATCGGTAGATGAAGGCGTGATGCTGGGTCGTGGGATGGACAACCGGCGAGGCAACCGTCGTCCTGAGAAGGGGACCCTTCTGCCGTGCCAATATGTTGTGCCCTTTGTTTGTTAGGGCTATCGACTATCGGGGACTGTACTGCATACAAACCAGAACCAAAGCTGCTTGTGACGTCCGCATGCTCACTTGCTTGCCCCTCCTGCCCGCAGGTTGTGGCCGGTTGGTGCCAACGGCTTCCGCGACCTCAACACGCGGTCTCGCATGCAGGCGGAGGCGGTGGCGCAGAACGCAACACGACTGCGGGAGCTGCAGGTGGGGGGGGAAGGGAGGCTAGGTCGGTTTGATCGATGTGAGGATGAGTTGGAAGCTTGGGACGTACCAGTGGCATGCGCACGAGCGTGAAGGGCTGGACACGTTATACCTGTCAAGCTCTTTCCTTTGCATGCTCGAAGTTTCGTACACCGCTACTCACCTCTCCGCTTCACCTCTTCCTCCCCTCCCCTCCCCGCTGCTGCTGCTGCTGCTGCTCCCCCTCCCCCCTCCTCACCCCGACCCCCCCCAGGACCGCGCCGCCGCCATGTCTCGGCGCCACAACGAGTTCCGCGCTCGCATCGGCGGGCTGCAGCGGCAGCACACGGAGCTCAACCACAAGCTGCTGCACGTGGTGCGGTGTGTGGACGCGCTGGAGAGCAGGCTGGCGCTGTCGGCGGGGTGAGGCAGGGGCGGAGTGGGGTGGAAGAACGGGTGGGGTGGATGAGGGGATGAGGAGGAGCAGGCGGGGTGAGGCGGCGTAGGGTATGAGGACGATAACCCAGAAGGGTGTGGTAAAGGGATGGCAGAGAGTAGCCCTAAGGTTGGAAAGAGCGGGGCCCGAAGCAGTCCACCACGTGTGTTTCCGACGTTTCCTTCCGTCTGACCGTCTGCCGCCCTTCTCCCTTTCCCCCCTCCCCACAGCTACAACGCGCAGCAGTCCCGGCAGCAGGTGTCGGAGCTCTCCCGGCAGTTGGCGGTGCTGGAGGAGGCGCTGGCACCCGCGGCGGCGGCTGCGGGGCTGCAGCGGCGGCTGGAGGCGGTGGCGGCGGCGGCTCGCATGCGCGCCGGCAGCGGGGAGGGCGCGGCGGGCGGGCTGGCCTCGGTGGGTGGTGGCTGCGGGGTGTGTGCGGGGCCTTCGTCTTGGAAGGGCGGTGTGCGGGTCCCGACGCGCCCCTATCTCCGCCCAGGAGCTTGTCACTGAACCCATTGGGTATTCTGCTTTCTTTACTTCCGCGCCAGTACCTGCTAACTTCCCTGCTGTGTGCGCTGTCCGCTGTCCTGTGCGGCCCCGCAGGTGAAGCTGGACGACAAGTCGCAGTCGCAGCTGTTTGCAGTGCTGCGGGACCACGCGGAGGGAGTACGGCAACTGCAGGTGAGGGGGCGTGTGGGGAGTCATGGAAGGAGTTGGGGATACTGAGCGACGCGTCGTTTCGGCGGGGATTATCGCCTTAAACCGAATCCTCTTCCCAACCGTTTCCCTTTGCTCCGCCCCCCTTTCCAACACTCCCTTCCAACCCCATCCAACCCAGGCCATTCTGAAGCAGGACGAGTTGGACCTGGAGGTGATGAAGCGGCTGCAGGCGGCGGGGGGCAGCGACATGGCACTCAGCTCGGCAATGGGCATGTAATGTGATGTGACGATGCGTTGGTGGTGGCGGGGTGGGGTGATGTAATATGATGGAGTGGTGTGGGGGTCTTGAGGTCACAGCCAGACTGCGGTTCTTCCAGCAGAAACCCTTACTGACGGACTCGTTTGACCGCAGCGGCAGAGCGATGTGGGTCAGAAGAATGGTTACGTGTTGCCTAGCCGTGGGAGGTTCCCGTGTGGGTGCTTGCGCCTGGCTGTCGCGCACCCTCGTGACACCATGCGTGGAGGGGTGGCGGGTGGATGGGTTGCGAGTTGGGAGCATCCCTCCTGGTCCTGCCGCGAGGGCGGTCCGGGCTGCGTGTGGGGCCGTGTTGTAAGGTGCTCAGAAGGGCTGTCAGAGCCCTCCTTTGGGAAGCCCGCCGCAACACCGGGGCTTAGGGCGCGACTTTCGGTGCCGGAAGGCGTGCGAATCTGCCTGCTATACGGCCTCGGTGTGCGCTTACACAGCGCGCGCATGATTCCGGTCCAGGATCAGATGTGTTACCCAACTGACCCAGGCTGACCCCGAGGCTACGGAATCCTCAAGCTACGACGCAGTAACTCCGCTAAATATTTTCTGTAGCCCCAGCCCGCCAGGCAGGCTTCAACCCTTCGTACTAAATCTCGTACGTCCGCAACCCAGACCCGCACCCATCTTAGACCATGACGCTCCTTACTTATAGAGAAAGACGCGCCAGCCTTCCCGAGTATAAAACTACATAAATGAGAAACATTGCATTCCCTGGCCTTCAGCTGCCAATCCCGAATCACTCCCGCTCCTTGCCTCTCCAGCTACCTACTCCTGCCATACGCAGCCCACTAGCCTCCTGACCCCACTTCGCCCCGCTCCACTCCACCTGCCCGCTGGACGCCGCTGCCTGCCCCACCCAGCGGCCCACACCCCTCAGCCCCCCTCAGGCTCAGGCCCAGCTCACGCCACCACCGCTGCTGCCGTCTGCTTGGCGAACTTGTCCAGGTATTTGGCTCGCGAGGGGTGCGCCTCCTGCGGCCGGTTGTGCGGCGTCCACACGGGGGCACCCACGAACAACCGCATGGCCTGGGGGCGGGGTGGAGGGGTGGTGCGGTTGGGTTATAGCAGGAGGGGAGGGTGAGCAGGAAGTCTGGATACCGTACGCACTGCTAAGGGGCTGCAGGCTACGGCAGCCCAGGATGCCTCGCTGCAGGGGTGGAATCAAACAGCAGTCGCACCACCGCCGCCGCTTCACAGCTCCAGCCCCTGGTGCCACACCCTGCGACCCAACCATCTCTCCTGCCTCCTCTCCCCTCCTCTCCCCACGCTACCAAGGAACTGCTCAAACACTCCCCGCCGCACCCCCCCAGTAACCCCTACACCCTAACCACACCCGCCCCCCCCACCACCTTGGTGTAGTTGTTGGTGTCGATTGTGAAGCGGTGGTAGATGCCCTCCGGCAGCACAATCAGGTCACCCTTGTTGCAGCGGATGCGGATCCAGCGGTCCTGGAAGTCGCGGACGTCAAAGTAGCCTGCAAGGGCGGGTGGGGTGGGGTGGGGTGAGGGGTGTTGGGTGAGGGGCGGGAAGGAGCAGGCGGCCGCATGCAGGTGGAGAGGGGCGGGCGGCGCCTGGGTTGCCGGCTAAGGCGCAGGAGTGGAGAGTGACAGAGGGACCAGAGGGGGAGAGGGTTTAGAGGGTTTCAGGCAGCGGGGGAGGGTGCCGTAAGAGGCAGGCATCGGGACAATAACACGGTACGGTAAGGGCCTTTGGCATACGGACTACACGGGCAAGGACAACAGCAGCACACAGGGCCGTGCCACCCACCCGAGCCGTCCAGCACGTATCGAATCTCGTCGTCTGCATGGATGTGCTCCTCGTAAAACATCTTGATCTTGTCATCGTAGCCGGGCAGCGTGGCGGGGGAGATGTTCACGATCTCCTGCGAGCCATCCGGGGGAGGTGTGTGTGTGTGGGTGTGGAGATGTGTGGCAGCAGTGGGGTAAGCACGGACGTCCCCTGGGGGGAGCCGGGCGGTACCGGTACTGCAAACCCGGCAGCTGCCGTGGGCGGCACATCAGGTCAGGGTACGCGCAGGAGCGTGGTGCATCGCTTGCACCATCAGGGACACGTACACACAGCACTTTGTACGGCATGCCGGTACACCGTTCGCGCATGTACGTACGGCGCAGGGCTACATAGACAACGCACCATGAACGAGTAGTTGTACACTTTGCGGATGGCTGCGAGGCGCGGGTCGGTTTCGTGGCGGTCGGCGTCCAGCTTCCAGTACAGCACACCGAGCTCGCGCAGGGCGGCCAGCGAGCAGGGCTGGTTGGGCTCCTGCCTGCGGTGGGGGGAGGGGGAGGCTTAAAGGGGCACCAACTGGTGGGGTGAGCGGAGGAGGGTGGATGAGGAATGTGGGAGGGGTGGTACGGGGCACGGGGTTGGGAACGTTAGGTAGGACTTTAGGTGAAGTGGGGCGGTGGAGCTGGAAAGCGTTGACCCAAATGCTTGGGGCATGGGGTTGGGGCTTGAGGCGGCCCAACGAAGGCAATGTGGCCGTGCTCCTTGCACCGGCACCCATAATCACACTCCCACTGCATCGCTGGCGTTTAACCTCTGCATTCCGGCAGCCTGGCCCACCTGTGCGGGAGGCGCTGGTCCTCCGTTGAGTCATCCATGTACCAAGCCTCAATCGCCACTGTCTCCGGCGGATCCGGCTGCGGTAATGGTAGGAAGTAACATACTATCAGCAATAGGTACATTCTAATGTGACTTCTACAAGCGAAAGACGGCTCCCGCAGAATGAGTATGGCCTCAACGGCCTCGATGGCATCAAAAAGGCTGACAATAAATACAAGCATGAACTATCAAAGCATATTAAACATTCGTGCACGACACCTGTGCCAACGCCAACTCCTCCGGGGTGAACTCGGCTGCCATTTCTGCTGGTATTCGAGGAGCCTAAAGCTACAACAACGGCGCAACTATATCGAAGCACTGGAAGCGTGTTAGCTCGTGAGCGGCTGCTCGCCTTCGGTAATCGTACTTCAGTACAACGCTTTAAATTGTCAGGTATCCTCCGAGCGCTGACAACGCGTTCAGATGCTCATCTTTCATGTAAATCCATTCTGCAATATCGAGCTGGTGTCTGCCCCCGAATAGCGCATCCATATGCTGAACAAGATCTTTGCTGTTGTTTCGTCTTATTCGCCAGTTAGGGAACACAGAGCAAATGGAGCATCGAAGGCCGGTCAAGAGTTCTACCTTAGAAAGGGTTCTGCTAGAGCTGCCTACAACAGCCACGGATGGTCTCATAGCCCAACTCCAGCTAGGAAAATGCTTGAGTTCCGCTCGGCTAGTGTGTAAGGCGCTGTGCGGTGCAATTGATGGGAGCATCAGAGCTGCAAAGTTCAACGTCAAAGACCAGCAGGTGGAGCTTTGGAGGGCGGGACATTGTGCACCGCTGGCGCGCTTTACTTGCTGCACCAGCGTGGATGTCAGCGCTAGCTATACGTCGGAGGCTGATGTGAGCTTTCCAACCCTGCTGGCGCTTCCGTTCACCGGTCTGCCGTTGATTGCCAGGCGGCGAATCACCAGCGTGACAATCTCATCAATATATTCCGAGCCCGACACCCACGTTGCCGAGGGTCACATCATGATGTCGCTTGCAGTTCTTCTTCCAGCACTTCGTTATGTCGACTTGGCAGGCTTGTGCAGCTTAAAGCCGAGGAACTCCTGGGAGCCACGAGTTGACCCCGATCCCATCCAGCAGCTGCTAATGTACGACGCATTGGCAACGTTGCCTTGCCTGGAACGTCTTTCAGTGCCTTACGGCAGCGGCCTGGAGCACGTGGGCCAACTAGAAGGAACCCTCAAGCACCTGCGAATTTGCGTCTATCTTATCCATGACGTTTTCACGGAGGGCGCCGTGGCGGCCATTGTGCGATTGCGACACCTGGAGCACTTGCAGATCGACGGTTTTGACCTTGAATTGCCCGCCAACGACAATGCTGCTGGTGGCATCCGGCTGCTCCTGCAGCGTGTGGGCGCACTGGGGGGCTCCCTGACGAGCCTACATGTGCATCTGGCCGCCGAGGTGCTGCACGACGCCCTGAGTCCTGAGGCCATGGCCAGCATCTCAAGGCTGCAGCGACTTCGGCACCTCACCCTGAAGCCCTGCTGCCTTACGGAGGGGGACCTTGAGCTCATTCCTGGGGGCGGCCCCAGAGGAGTCCTGCCACGGCTGCTGGCCTGCTTGCCGCCGTCACTGGAGGAGGTGAACTTGGAGGCGGAGTTCAGGGAACCAGACGAAGAGTTCAACGAGATAACGACGCTGGTCAACATCGACATCTGCGGCGGCAGCTGTAGGGGTGTCACTGTCAAGGGCGGTTACTACCCTGCTGAAACGATCGACCTTGCCCTCGTTACCAAGCTGCTGCTGACGAGCTGCCGAGCCTGCCAGGGTGGGGGTCTGGGCTGGCTGCACGTTGAGTCGCTGTCTATCGCCGATGACGACTGGCCGCAGCAGCTGCAGCACCTGCAGGGCGTCCTGCGCCGCTGCTCGAGTCTCCAGGTGAGGAGGCTGCGGGTCCGCAATGCACGTGACGCCCTGGCGGCAGTGGAGGTCTTGGGGAAGCCGGAGGCGTTGATAAATACGCGCTACATGGATACACTCTTGAGGATGCGGCAAGCTGAGGAGCCGCATAAGCTGAGGCAGCGGGACGGTGCGGCTGAGGAATTGGGTGAGGATGCCCTGTCGCTGCGGCAGCCGGCCTCCCTAATCGTGGCCTCAGATGTGGCCAAGGCGGTCATGCAGCGGTTGACGACGAAGGGCCCGGCGTCACGGTTCCTGCTGCTCAGGGGCTCTCTGCTTGTGACGCTGGCAAAGCTTCAAGGGGACTTCCTCGACTCTTTCATTCGCTCCATTAAGAAACAAGTGCCCAGCCTGCGGGCCTACCAGCTGCTGCCAGCCGCTGTCGCAGCAGCCAGCAAGGGCGCCCTGATGCTGGAGGCTGGGCGGGAGCCCGGTGAGGCGGACGCCGTCCTCCTGGCAGTTCGGGACGTTGCTGCAAAGCTGGAGCCGGGGGCCCTGGAGGTGGTGCCGCTGCAAAAGATGGGATGGCTTTCATTCTGTAGCAGGAGTAACTACGCTAAAGCCCTTGAGCCGGTAGGTTCTGCAGCGGTGGGACAAGGACATGGAGTGATCGATGCAATGCAGGAGCGCAGTTGTCTAGTAGGACATGCATTGTGGGTGTTGGGTTTGAAACCGAGTACGGTAGCCAAGGGCGGTGCCATGCAAAGGAGGCGGTTATGGGACCCCTTACACCTCGCGTCAGTCTTTTGCCTTGACGTTTGCATTGGCTTGTAGTGACTTCCCGCTCGTCCCCGCCCACCCCCCCTCATCAGGAGCTTCAGGCGCTGTGGGACGATGTGGCCGCCCGGCGCCGAGTGGGCGAGCGCGAGTGGCTGCGGCAGCTGCTGGGGCTGTGGGACCAGCTGGGTGACATGCCGCCGCCGGTGTCTGTATAGCCGGGTGTGTGCAGGATGTTAAAGAAGCAATAGTTGATAGTGCGAAAGGCCTTAAGCAACACAGCGAATTTGGGCTCATCCTGCATGTCTCTGTGTGGAGTACTTGCACTGTCATGCTGCATTACGCTGCTTTCTGTTTGTGGGGCGGTAATTGGGCTCCACCAGCAGCTAGAAGAAGGCAATCCGATCTCACCGTTACACGTGCATAACGTGTCTTGAGGCATGACTGTAAAGGTAATGCCGCAGGGTAGCAGTAGTAGTACCAGCGGGTTTGAGTGTATGTGCAGCCTGATGCTAGCTAACGATTGGGGTGGTGAAGAGCATTGGAGAGGAAAGGACATTGCCGTGTGGGCTCCTGAATAGTTGTCTTTTGCAGGATGAGCTCCCGCAACGACAGGGGCTGCGGGACTGCTGCACTTTTGTTGTCGCGCTGTGCAAACTGTAGTGAGTGTTTATGGGAATGTTGCCGGATGTACTGGAAGTTGGGAACTGAGGATGCAGGTGATGGCCTTACTTGCTTGGGCTCGCAGGGTTGGGCTCTCGCAGGCATGCAGCAGAAGAGTGCAAATGGTGGGGGAGTTTGACACATCTGTTAAGAGATAACGCAGCTGCCCTCGGTTTTCCACTGAGGGGGTGAGCGGGGGACTTGACGCTAGGCTGGTTGTAGCTGTAGAAGCTGGCTGCCGAAGCTTTCTCGGGTGTTTTGAAGGTAGGGGCGCTTGGTTAGTGTTGGCCATGCAGAACTGTATTCATAGGCGCAATGGTGCATGGCATATATGGACTAGCACGCTTGACGGTTGGTGGTGCATTTCGTGGCTAACTGCTTGGCATGGAGCTGCTGCTGGTGTATGTGCTGCTATTAGAATATGTTTTTCTTCTATCACCGTACGTCATTCATGGCTGGTGTAGGGGTGCAAACTATCTGCGTGCCGCAGTAATACTTAGCGGTATCGGGGTGTGGCTATGGCGTTGGACTGCTGGGAAAATGTTTGCAATGCACTAATGAAAGGGTTCCCATTTTGGGTGAAGAGCCGGAAAACTAAGGGAAGGCAAGACTTGGACTACCTGGACAATAAGCATTTAAATAGAAAATGCAACGGATGCCCACGCACGGAAGTTTGCCAACGTCTGTTTGCAAGTACATTAAGCCTAACAAAGAATGTAATTTAGCCTGATCATGTGCGGTATTCGTGACCCAGCGTACGCTCTCGCTGGTTACCGTAAGCAACAGACGCTGGGCCCTCTTTTGGGCATGCAGTTCCATCCTTTGCAAGCCATAACTGAAACAGCCGTTTCCAGCGGGGCATACGAGGCCTTTAGCATAGGCAGCTTTGGGGGTGAAACGCCAACGTCAGGTTAAACATGCTTGCCATTCCCCCGAGCCTAAATATACATATGGAACAGTTACACCACCATACAGTCAAGCAAGTAATTGTACGTATCCGGCAGAGGGCAGAGTATATAATATACTCAACTACGACGGTTTTTCCAAGTCTTTGGATCTGGATATATGTCCTCGGTCGCAGACAAGGCATCCTAGATAAATTGCCATTTCGAGTTACTTCAAGCCTGGACGAGCACACTAGCCACCTATTGCTATTCAGAGCTAGTCGTTGTTGCGCTAGACTTCGAAATTTCCCCTGTTGAAATACGCAGCACAGAATGGACATTAACAGGCCAGCGCAGCATGTGACCTTGGAGGGGGTTCTGCGGGAGCTTGCCACGACAGCCACAGATGCTCTCATAGCTCTCCTCCGAGAAGGAGAGAGCTTGGCTGCCGCACGCCTGGTATGTAAGGCGCTCCGCGACACAATTGACAGCAACATTAAGGTTGCAAAATTTGATGTCAACGCCCAGAAGGTGGAGCTTTGGAAGGCGGGATGTTGCGCGCCGCTGGCGCGTTTTACTCGCTGCACCAGCGTGGACGTCAGTGCCAGCTATACGGAGGGGGCTGATGTGAGCTTCCCAACCTTGCTGGCGCTACCCTTTATCGGTCTGCCATTGGATGCTAGGCGTCGAGTCACCGATTTGACAATCGCATCTTTGCATTCCGAGCTTGAAACCGACATACCCCAGGGCCACATCGTCTCGTCGCTTGCAGCGCTTCTTCCATCACTTCGTGCTGTAAACTTGGTAGGCTTTCCCAGCTTAGAGTCGCTTGAAGAGTCCTGGGAGCCTCGAGTGGTCGACGACCCCATCCAGCAGCGGCTAATGTACGATGCATTGGCAACGTTGCCTTGCCTGGAACAACTCTCAGTGCCTTACAGCAGCGGCTTGGAGCACGTGGGCGAACTAGCAGGAACCCTCAAGCACCTAAAAGTCCACGTCTTTACCGACCCTCATGTCTTCACGGAGGGTGCTGTACGCGGCATTTTGCAACTGCGACACCTGGAGCACTTGGAAATCGACAGTTCGCCCCACGGCAACCCTGACGCGGCCTTGAAAGAAGCTGCTGGTGGCATCCGGCTGCTCCTGGAGCGTGTGGGCGCACTGGGGGGCTCCCTGCAGCGCTTGGAGGTCAATTTGGACACCAACATGCTGTACGACGCCCTGAGTTCTGATGCCATGGCCAGCATCTCTAAGCTGCAGCGACTCCGGCACCTTACCCTGAAGTCCTGCTGCCTTACGAAGGGGGACCTTGAGCTCGTCCCTGGGGACGGCCCCAGAGGAGTCCTGCCACTGCTGCTGGCCTGCTTGCCACCGTCATTGGAGGCGCTGGATCTGCGCATAGAATTCAGGGAACCAGACGAGGAGTTTGATGACGACGACCCAAATGCACAGGCAGATATCAACGTCAAGTTTTGCGGCTGCAGCTGCAAGGGTGTCACTGTAAGTGATATGGCAACGACTGGGCTTGTCCTCGTCACTCGGCTGCTTCTGACGAGCTGCCGGGCCTGTCAGGGGGGGCTGGGCCGCCTGTGTCTTGGTGATCTGACTATTATAGATGAGGACTGGCCGGAGCACCTGCAGCACCTGCAGGGCGTCCTGCGCCGCTGCTCGCGTGTCCAGGTGACGAGGCTGTATATGGACAGCACACTTTATGCACGTGACGCCCTGGCGGCAGTTGAGATCTTTGGGAAGCCGGAGGCCCTGGTACTTTTCTCGAGTTTACCCTGTACAGTTTTGACGATGCGGCAAGCTGAGGAGCCGCACACGCTGAGGCAGCGGGACGGTGCGGCTGAGGGATTGGCCGTACCGCTGCGGCAGACGGCTTCCCTGATCGTGGCCTCGGATGTGGCCAAGGCGGTCATGCAGCGGTTGACGACGAAGGGTCCGGCGTCAAGGTTCCTGCTGCTCAGGGGCTCTCTGCTGGTGCACAACTGTCACCACAGGCAATAGGAAGCCAACGCAAGTGAAGGCATCCACTGCCGACCCCTCAGGCAGTAGCATAAGCCATCCAAGATATCCGCAAACCGCCCGAATCCTATTCAGTATGCCGCTCTCAGCCTCTCACCACCCGTAGACTTAAGTCCCCACAAGACACACGCCAAGTGGCTTTGCCCGGTGTCGTGATGCGGCTTCCATTTGCAAACATTACCAGGCTCAGCGGTAATAGTAGCAACGACCCCAGCAATCCCAGTCCCGCCTGCCGCGCCCCTGCTACTTCCTGCCGCCCACTCGCAGCATCTGGACCTCAAACAGCAGCGGCTCCCTGCATTGGGCGGGGTGAGGGTGCGAGGCAGGGTCAAGGGCAGTGAACTGGAGTTGGGGGAAATGAAGGATCCCAAGGTGGAGGGGAAAAAGAAATTCCATAGTGTGGGGGGGAGGATGGGTATTGGGCAACAAGGAGTCAGGGAGGAGGGGTACCGATACTGCTGCTAGGCGCGCTAGGAGGCCCACACTGTCTCACACAACCAGCCAGCTGAGGAGGGAAGCGCCTGAGGCCCCCACGTGCGCGCTAACCTCCTTGCCAGCTCCTTTCCCTGACCTCACTGCCCTCACGCAGCTGGCCTCGCATGCACGTGCCCACGCCCCGACCACCCCAGCCCTCCTCATACACGCTGCCCAGCCCCATGCACGCCGCCCCTACGACCCTGCCTCTCCTCCTAACCCCTTTCAGCCCCTCGCTATGTTACATGGCTACTACTCAGCATCTATCTATCATCTATAGCCCCAACCCCCACCAACTGATGCCGCATAGCGCTAGTACACCAGCCCGCTCCTCCCCTGCTCCCGGGCCCCCCCCCACACACCTGGTGAAGCCTCATTACACAGTTAATTTTTACCCCACCTGCGATGGCTCTCCAGCTGCCGGCGCGTGGCGAAGGTGGGCGGCTGCGGCCCCTCCCCGCCCGCCACGTAACCCAACTCGGGCGGGATGAGCGCGCGGCGCTTGCAGCCGGGGGCCATACCCTGCAGCACCTGCTCCAGCCCCTGGGGGACAGCATGAGGTGGGGCGGGTGGGAGGGGGGTAAAGAGGAAACAACTAGCTGACCGATAAGGCGCCATCATGATCTGCAAGATGCGGGAATGGGGGTGGGAATAGAACAGTAACCTGCTGTCCAGGATAGTGGCGGCAGCCCCTGGTGCAAGCCGCTGGGTGATGCGGGTGAGGCAGCGGGCTGTACGCGTCATGCTCGGAGACAAGGGTGCAACGTACGCGTGATGGAGCCTACTCGTCACATGGACAGCTTTCATAGCCATCCCTCCCTCGCTCCCTCCCTCAATGCAACACTGTCCCCTTCCTCCCTCCCACTGTCCCCTTCCTTCCTCCACTTGCCATGTTAGGTTGTTAGGATCTAGGAAGGCTGTTAAAAAAGGCCTGGTAGTACACATTTATGCGCGGGAACGGTGGGCGGGTTAGGCCTGTAGTCCTGTTCCCCCTATAGTTCTGTCTTACATCTTCTCCCGCGGCAGCCTCCCACCAGTCACAGGTGACGGATTATGCTTCTCGTGGACTCCAACCGTCCGCCTGGCGCTCCTGATATACGGCCAGCGCCGTTCGGGCGTTCGCGGGGCCGTCCATCGGTTGCACAAGGCCCTTCACGCCGGAAGTATCCGGAGTATTATGGGTTGTCTCCGTCCCCTCCGCCTCCTTAACTGTCCACTTACCCGTGCACACCCAACTAGGACCAACCCGCCCTACGAATGCATTACTGGGTTGGCTACACTGCGGTGGCCTTCCCGGTGTATCGTAGGGGGGTGGGGATCTGTTCGCAGACCGCACCCTACGTCACAGTATCACGTTGTGCCCCTTTATCACTGCACATCATGCCTTGTTCCCGATATGCCGTACTTTTCACCAATTCCGTCCCTTTTTGTAACTTCCGCCATTCTTCCATCCCCATACACCCCACCGCGCCGTCCTAGTTGTGTCGTCTCGTGTCTTAGGCTTACCTTAGTACTTCTTTGCTCGCATCTTCACCATCGTCCTCTTTCACTTATACTTAACTTCCCCTTTCGCTTTCCTTGCCTCATTCCGCATATCTGGCTCTCCGCGGGACATCGCTATCAACTCGCCTCGACCTAACTTCCTCCATGGTCCTGGCGGCTTGCCATGGACATGTCTCATGGTGCACATATCCTGTGCACGCAGGTACGTGTTTTATCGTGTGTCAGACTGTGTAGTTTTTTATGCGTGCTCGTGTTGTGCTGTTCCTGTTTGCCTATGCCCAACGGCGCGGTGGGTCTCCAGCTCACCTTCAGCAGCCTCCACACATGCCCAAGACTATGGTAAGGTTGCTCCATAATTGGTAAGTTCGGTAAGTTTAGCTCGCATTGCTTTAACCACCATTTCGGCTCGACTCACGGTTGATTCCACCAGGGATTGTCAGCAACTTGTATCATTATCATACCACACTTTGGAATTTCTTTTTTTCCTCCCTCCCGCAAGGTTTCTTCCTTACCCTCCCTCCCTCCCCCCTCCCCCCCACCACCCACATCCCCCCACCTGTATGAGCTCCCCGCTGCCCAGCCGAGCGCTCACAGGTCCCACCGGCACGTCCAGCGGCTGGAACGACACGCCCTCCACCGTGCCGTAGATGAAGTAGCCGTTACTACGACGCAGCACGTAGTCGAATAACACCGTGTCACCCGGACCCGCCGCCGCCGCAGCAGCAGGCGCCGTACTCCCGCCATTGCTACCGGGGGTAACAGCTGCTGTGTTTAGCTCCTGGTATCGTACACCACTGGGCAGCCGTACGAATCGAGGTTGAGCAGGATCCACGGGCGCTCCGAGACCTGGGGAGCTCCAGTCGCCGGGGTCGAGGGAGGAGGAGGAGGAGGCGGTGGCAGCGGAGGCGGGGGCGGGTGGAGGGAGGAGGAGGGAGGTGGGTGTGGAAAGGAGGGAGAGGAAGAGGAGGTTGCGGCGGGAGAGGAGGGTAGAGGAGGAAGGATTGTGGAGGGTGGAGTGCGTAGGGATGGTGATGGTGGTGGGAGTTGTGGAGGCTGAGGAGGTGGTGGAGGAGGAAGGGAGCGGGTGCGAACAATGCGGAGTGCGAGCGGTGAAGGGTCGTGGAAGCAAGCGGCCCAGTCCGCCTTGTCGATTGACAGGGTAGAAGGCAGTACGAGAAGAGGCGGTTGGCGAGGCTTGAAGCATTTTGTTATTGCAGGAGTAGCGCTAAGCTGTGTGGGCCTTTTGTAGGCTAGATTGGGATCAGAGAGGAGATAGTAAGTCAAAAGTGGCCAGGCCAATGAGCCAGTTACAAGACGTGGATCGAATGTGAAAGCGTTAACATTGCATAGTTGCGCTATCCACACATAGCCTTAAGCGCTCTGTGGCGCAGCTTCGCGCTGAAAGCAGAGGAAGTGCTTGCTCAACGGCTGACGACATGCCGTACGGTCGCTGAAACCACTGCGGTTCATCCCGATGTCTTTGGCTAGTAATTGTCATGTAACGACAAAGCGGTTATTGGGAAGCAAGCAAAAGTTATCAGTCACAGACATACCAGAAGTTCAATGCAACACCACACTTAGCGTCACTGGCACCAATAGCTTTGACAAGTGTCACCATGGCGTCTGTTGCAGCGGGATCTTCAAGGCGGCTCCTAGGAAAGGTTGCGGTGGTTACTGGCGGGGCTAAGGGCATCGGCCTAGGTTGCGCTCGCAGCCTCTGTAAGGAAGGAGCAAAGGTACGTCGCTGATCGCGGATGTAATATACTACTGCAGCAGTTGCTGCTTAGCTTTGATGGTGAGAAGTGATGTAGGTAGTGCCCGGTGTCCATGCCGCGACCCATGATATGTTGCGTCAGCCCCTCACCATTTGGAAACAGCTATGGATAAAAACACTTGAATACTTTAACACGTTCGTAACCTTTCTACCTTTCCACGCAGGTGGTATTAGCTGACGTAGACTTGGCGACCGCTCATCGTAGCGCGCAGGAGCTCGCGGCGTCAGGACACGCTGCTCGCGCGGTCAAATGCGACGTGCGACTCAAGGCACGGCGGTTGCGGGTCTGCGGGTGCGAGTGGCGGGGTGGCTTGTGTACGGTGTGTGGTTTGCCCCCGTGGGTCAGGGAACATGGCAAGCGGAGGCGTCTGCAAGGTATCTGACCCAAGGCCCGCCGTCCATGATTACCCTCGTCCCCCATCTCGGCAGCGGCTTCGTGGGCGCGTGACCTACAGTGCCCCTTAGCCCCGCACGATGGTATATCCGTCCGCGGCTCCCCCCTTCCCATGTGTTGCTTCCATGGATGCCTCTTCGCTTCCAGGCAACCAGGGTTGACTCTGAACGACTCCCCTCCGCCACCAATTGCTGTCCTGTCGTTTTTGGGGCATAAGGCCCTCAGCGTTTTGCGCCTAAGAAGGGAGGCTTTACGCTCTATGTCATCAAATCAGTTCGCTATAGTCTAGGCGGTTAGGATACGAGATTCTCACTCTCGAGACCCGGGTTCGAGTCCCGGTAGCGAAACATTTTGCGTTTTTGGGCCTATCCATTTACGTTCTTGCCCCATTTGCTGCGTTTTGGACGTCCCCATAATCTGCTGGAAAGCCCCGTTTCCAATGAGAGGGATCGCAATGTGAATAACGCGTGCTAAAGGCTTGGTTGGGCTCTCGACCGGTGCGAGGGGTCTGTTTCCAACCGGGCATTGTTGCCTCGGTCGCATATGATTGCCACATGTGACGCCCGTGTGCCCCCGCTGCTGCCGCTCAACGCAGGCGGATTGCGAGGCCGCAGTGGCAGCGGCGGTGGCGGAATGGGGCAAGCTCGATATCATGGTAGGTAGGAGCCGCTTTGCATTTTGTACCCGCCGCAGCAAACGTGCCGCCGTTCCTCCATCCTCGCACTACGACACGCCCTGCTAACGCCTCCCCGCGCCCCCCCCGCAGGTTGCCAACGCCGGCATTGTCAAGGCGGCACCTTTCCTGGAGATGATAGAGCAGGTGAGTGGGCGGAAGTACGGCAGCCAGCACGACAGCTAGAAGGTCAGTTTTCTCCGTTGGGGCCTTCCAGCCGTACTGTGGTCCTTGTCCTGCAGAGCCCAGGGATGGCTGCTTCTTACCGCATCCGCTTGCACTTTGCTGGGATGTGGTTTACAGCACGACACCCGGCAGCTGTCACGGAGGTTAGCTGCTGCCGGAGCCACCACTGCTTCTCGTAACGTCCTGCCGGTTCTTTCCTCTCCTCCCTTCTTTCGTCCCACAGGACTTTGACGACGTCCTGGCTGTGAACCTGAAGGGCGTCTTCCTGTCCTGTCAGGTGCGCGGGCGGGGGAGAGTGTGGGAGCTGCTGGGACGAGCACCGTAATAGGCAGTGAACTGTAGGCAGCAGGCGCATCGGTCTAAGAGCGGCAGGGGACCGCATGCGGCTGCTGCCAGTTCGGATTCTTGCGAATGGGTCGCCTGCTCCGCCAGCTCGTGACGCATGACGCGTGTCATGGCTTGCTGCTGGTTCTGCGATGCGTTCGGGGACTGCTGCTGCTGCTGCTGCTGCTGTGGTGGACCCCTGGTGAACCGTAACCCCCCCGCACCTCCCGGCAATCCCCCTTCCGGCACCCCCAACACGCCGCGCCCCCCCACTCATATGGTCTCTCCTATGGTTTGGTACCGGTATGGTCTTTGACCCCCCACTCATTATATAATCGCCCCTCCCCCCGCAGGCCGCTGCCCGTCAGATGGTGTCCCAGCGCGAGTCGCAGCCGGGCTGGTCGGGGGGCGCCATTGTCACCATGTCGTCAGTGAACGCAGTCATGGTGGGTGGGGGAGGTCGCGGGGAAGAAGGAGAAACGTAATAACCATATGGCAAGATTCCAAACAGGGGGGAGAAAGACGGGTCTGAGGGACCCCGGCATTCATGATGGGGGGGGGCGTAAGGAGGGGAAGGGGTAAGGGCCCAGGAGCGAAGAATGAAGCACCGGAGGCTCAGCGGTCATCTCATGATTCGTCCCGCCATCCCACCTCCCCGTCCCGGCCCCCCTTTCCCCCCCCAGGCCATCCCCACCATCTCCGGCTACAACGCCAGCAAGGGCGGGGTCAACGGCCTCACTCGCAGCATGGCGCTGGCGCTGGCACCGTACGGCATCCGGGTGAACGGAGTGGGACCCGGCAGGTGGGGGAGGGCAGGCGGGGGGTGGGTTGGGAGGGGCAGGTTCCAGAAAGGAGGAAGAGGGGCAGGTTGCAGGAAGAGGGGAAAGGAATGGGGAAGGGTGAAGAGGGGAAAGGAATGGGGAAGGCAAGGCGCGGACTGGGCGATGGCCCTTTGCTTTGCCCTAGCCTGTGGCTTCCTATGGTATGGTACCTGATGGTACGGCCTTCCAACCCCCCCTCCTCCCCCCTTCCACCGCTTCCCGCCGCTTCCCCCGCTCCCCCCGCTCCCCCTCGCAGCATCGCCACCGACGTGCTGTCCTCCGTGGCCGCCGACCCGGCCGCCCGGCAGCGCCTGCTGAGCCGCACTCCGCTGGGCCGCATCGGTGGGCCGGAGGAGGTGGGCGAGGTGGTGGCGTTCCTGGCTTCGGAGGCGGGCAGCTACATGACGGGACAGGTGGTGTACGTGGATGGGGGCAGGCTGGCGCTGAACTACACGGTGCCGGTGGTGGAGACGGAGGAGGCGGGAGGGGGGCGGTAGGGCGGGGGGGGTGGGCTAAAGAAGGATATCCAATGTGTGGTGTGATAGCGGTAAACTAGATGGGGTGGTGGGGCGGGGTGGTGGGGAGGAGTGAGGCGGGGTTGTGAGAGGGGTCGTGGTAGAACGGAGGTGGAAGGTTAGCATGGGAGAGGCAAGGGCACAGAGGTGAGAAGATGTGGAAGAAATATGGATGAGTGGGTTTGTGTTTGTTAGGATCTGGTAGGGTATGTTGGTTCAGGATGACCAAACATAGGTTTAGTTTACGAGGCAGATGGACAGGCAGCCAAGGCTGGTGGGTTAGGCTGCATGCGGCGGCAGCATGACGCGCAGGAATGGAGCTGCAGTTGTCGTTGTAGTGCCAGGGAAATGTGAACATGAGGATTTGTGAGGAAGGTGCAAGAGGGCGCATGTCTGCCTTCACACTAGATGGGATATGGACCCCAAGGATACCGGTACCCGAAGTCATGTCTGGAAACACGCTGAAGCTGGCTGCCTTGCCGACGGTTTATTATATGTGGTGTTGCCCTCCATGGTTGCGTGAAATGGTGGTCACCCCTAAGCTCGACCCGTGTGTGCAACAGGATGTACGGCAGAAGTACGTGGTCAGCGGCAACAAGCACGACATGCCAAAGTTGCCACGAGACATGGAAATTGTAGCGTAGGTTCGATGGCATTTGTAATCTTTGTTGCTGTGTTGTATTATTCCTGAAGCTATAGCTTGACAGACTATACGCGCACACGCCATGGTAGTCTTTTGACGGTACTTGTATACGCCTTAGCATATCGCTATGTAATACCGTCCGCGTACCTTCGTGTACACGCTTCATCGTCTGCCTGCGGGACTTCTTCTTTAGCTGTCGACTGCATGGCACACCTCTTAACTCTTAACAATATTGGCGCTTCAGCTTACAAAAACAAACCATAAACTATGGGCAAAGCGTTGACTAGTGCTTCTGGGCCAACAGGTATACCTAGGTTACAGCTGTTCGAACATGGACATGCGCGGACGAACCTGAATCCTGCCCCGTTTCCCCCTGTGTCCAGGCCTTACGCTCCATTACCTAGTTATGGCGGGCGCTTGCTTTGGATGCTGGTAAGCGCAAGGACAGCAAAACGGTGCGGTCAACGTTTGCCTTCCATTGCTTACCTCTCCTCCATCCCTATGCCACAGCGTCCGCGGCCTTCCCGCCTGGTACCAGGCCATCATCGCTGTCATGATCGCTGCCTCCACAGCCATGCTGTGGGCCACGCACCTGCTCGACCCGGGCATCATACCGCCGCAAAGCTGCAAGGGTGCGTGAGCGAGAGTGACCGGGAGCGGCCAGGAGCGGCATCCCGAGTTGGATGGTGCCGTGTACTGCCAGGCATGCCATGTAATGCTAGGCATGGTATGCAACAGGCGGTGGGCTTCTGGAAGGAGCCCATTGATTGCCAGGACGCTTGGCGACCCCTGCCTGCCCCAGCCCCCACCCCACTCTCTTCCTGCTCCTTCCCCCTACAGACCCGGTCATCGAGGCCCTGGAGAGCGGCTCCGCAGAGGTGCCGCATCGCCACCGGTGGGTGCGTGGAGTGGGGTGGGTGTGTGGGTGTGGGCTCCTTGGGCGCTACGGAGCCCAATCACACCCATGGAGATGTTGGCTCATGGCCTTTGCGTTTTCCACCATGCGTGCCCCCGACCCCAACCAACCAACCGTATGTTGCCCAACCCGCCCCCCTCCGCAGCTACTGGCGCGACTCCCGGGGCACCTGGCTGCGCACCCTGCAGCCAGCAGAGTGGGCAGCAGAGCAGCGACAACAGCAGCAACAACAGCAGCAGCGGCAAGCGATTGCAAAGGGGCGGGACGTCCCCACCACTAGCGGTTGTGGAGGAGGTGTAAGCGACGGTGGAGGCGGCGGTGGCGGTGTGTGCGGGAAGGCGGGGTACGTTGCAGTGGCTCCCGAACCTCAGGAGCCGCGGGAACCGCTGACGCAGCCGCAAGCAGCAGCAGGAGCAGCAGCAGTAGCTCCACCGCGGCCGCCAGCACCGGCGGCGGTAATCTCAGCACCAATGGCAGCAGATGCTGCTGGTGTGGGAGGCGTCAGCGGGGGCCAGGGCGCCGATGCCACTGCTTGCGGCGGTGGGGGCGGTGACGTGGAAAAAGGTAGCAGCGGCGGGCCTGGAGGATCTGGCAGCTTGATGGCTGTGGTGGCGAGTTCTGCGGGGGCCGTGACGGCGGCAGCAACGGCAGCAGCGGGGTTTCCCCTGGCTTCCTCCTCCGGGATAACTGTACCTGTACGAGTACCCTCCTCACATGTACCTCCTTCGCTACCGCTGCCGCCACCGCCGCCTCCTGGGGCATCGGGCGCCCGGAGCTGCCGTGGCGGTGCGGCGGTGGTTCACAAGTACTGCGTGACATGCAACATCTGGCGGCCGCAGCGGGGGCACCACTGCAAGGAGTGCGGCTACTGCGTGGTGGGTGGGGTGGGTGGGGGGCCGCTGGCTGGCTGGGGTGGTGGGGTAGACTGCTGGCTGGGCGGATGGGTTAGGCGGGGGCCTAGGTCTTGGGTGGGGGGGCCGTTGTGACGCCTGCTGGGTCCTGTAGGAGGCGGGGCGGGCTAGGTGATTGCCAGTGGTGCAAGGAGGGCGTCAGGCGGGCTATACGGGACGCGGTGAGGAAGAGTAGGGAGAGGGCAGACGGAGGCCAGACTGAACCTCCAGATCGTCAGGCCTCAAGCAGCCTTACCCAAGCGGCCCCAGCTCCCATCAAGGCCTCACATGCCTCCCCTCCCCCGCCCTTCCCCTTCCAACCTCCCGCACCTCTGCCCCTCCCCCCCCCCCAAAGGAGCACTTCGACCACCACTGCGGCACCATGGGCAACTGCATCGCGCGCCTCAACCACCGCTTCTTCGCGGGCTTCATGATTGCAGCGCAGGTGGGGGCGGGGGGGGGCGGGGGAAGTGGGGTAGAGACGGTGGGGTAGAGCTGGTAAGAGAAGAAGAAATCAATGAGGGGGGCAGGCGGGTCATGTTAAGGGGCCATGAGGGGAAGGGACTAAGGGTGAAGCATGCAGCGACAAAGTCAAGGGAGGGGCGTCCGGGTCTGGGCTTCCTTGCATCCCTGCATCCGGTACCATATGCTCCGCACATACTCACTCCCGCCCCCCTCCCCCCCACACACACGCCTCCTGCGTCAGGCGGCGTGCGGCATGGCGCTGGGCGGCTGCGTGTGGCGACTGAGGAGGAGCAGCTTCCCGGGGTGGGTGGGTGGCTGGGTGAAAGAAGTCCCAACGGATGGGTGGGTGTGGGAGAGGCAGCGCAAACGACCGACAAACCACATCGGAGGCCGAGAATCCCGTAAAGACTTTTGGTTCCTGCCACCGTAACGCGTCAACCGCGCCTCACTAGCTCCCTCCCTCCCTCCCCACGGCCCCCATGCAGCTCCTCCTCCTGGTCGCACGGTGAGACGTACGTGCTGCTGCTGCTGGCGGTGGTGCTGGGCTGGCATGTGCTCAGCCTGGGCTTCGGGACGGCGCACTGCCTGCTGCTGCTGACGGGTGAGGGGGGCGGACACGCATGCAAGGGAGGGAGAGCAGCGGGAGGGGCAGGAGGGGGACAATGGAAGGATAAGAAAGGAAAGAGGAAGAGCCGGGACTTACCGTACCTGATCGCATGCTGCCATGGCGGCCGACGGTGGAAAGCCCTCACGTCTCTCGTATCTGTCGCACGGTTCTCACCCTCCAACCCACCCCTCTCTCGCGCCCCAGATGTGACCACCAAGGAGTGTCTGATGGAGGAGGTGCTGCCCGGGGCGCGCTTCTGCGACCACCTGCCCCTGGGGGCCAGCGGCTGCCGCAACCCCGCCGGCCTGCTGGGCGCGTACCGCTCGCTGTGCTGCGGCCCCGTGCGGCTGCGGCCGGGGGCGTGGCGGCGGCTGAGGGGCGGAGGCAGCAGTGCTGGCGGGGGTGCGGTTAGGGCTAGTGCATGGACTAGTGCGGGCGGGGGTGGTGGTGGGGGCGGGGTAGGGGAGGGGGCAGGGCGGTCAAGCGGCAGTAGCAGCCGGCTGGGGCTGGTGAAGGGCGCGACGGAGGAGGGTGTGCCGGCGGAGGCGGGGGGGCCGAGTGAGGCAGCAGCAGGGGCGGGGGCAGTGCGGCAACCGGGGATAGCGGCGCCTGCCTCGCTTGGGGTGTAACACGTAAGCTATCGGGCTGTGGCAAAGCGGGTGGTAGGCCGTCTGAGTCCAGGCGGGGCGATGTGGGACGGTGCGACCAGTACCTCGACGTGCAGGCGGTCACGGTTACAAAACCATGATAGCAGTACGACCGCAGACAGGCCACTGCAATTATTAACGTCCTGGCATGCGGCCGCATCCCCCGTAACTACGGAGAAACCCCGCATGCTGAGGCCAGCATTCTCAATTTCCATTCTCAAACTCCTGTAAACAACTCTGAGGGGCGCTTATGGCCAGCACCGGTAAGCGACATACCGGTGTGACTCAGGCTACCCAAGCATACCGTATGCTCGACAGCCTTACCTGGTCGGTCAAAACCCCAAAAACAAACCAACGAATTATTGGCACAACCACTTATCATTCAAGTTAAAGCCATCCACGAATTCAGACCATTCACAATTAACAAAATCCACGGAAATGTAAAACATTACTGGTACGTACAACAACCACGAACATATGTCATATGGTACAAGTCACGTCAACGCCACCTGGGGTCTAATGTCTGACCCAGAAGCTTATCGTACAGTCCAACCTCACGGGGTATTTCCCCAACACAACACAAGACAATTCTTCCCAAAGCACATGTAGGACATGTTCCGACTCCCGGCCAGTTGTCCTACTGTAATACACGAGTAAGACGCGCCCGGGTGCCCCTTCCTACTACTACGATTACTCCTCCTCGTCCTCCTCAAGGCTCGCCACGCACGCATGCATGCACGCACAATGGGCTGCACCCATGCATCCATGCGGCTCAGGGCCGACCGCTAAGCACTCTTCCTGAGCTCGGCCCCGCCTCCCACATCTCCATCTCCACACGGAACCCAACTGGGTTGGCAGCAAGTGCAGTTACGCGGACGTTTCACTTGTTTAACTGACGAAACTGTACACACCCGTCATGCAACCCGCAACAAACTTCCCGTGAGCGATTGGTACTTCAACAACGTAGGTCAATAATACAGAAGGTACTGTGTCAAACTCTTCATGATACAACTTGTCGCTGCGAAATCGCCCTCCGAGGTCCCTCTACCGCCGTGAATCCCTCACATGTAAGTGCTTCCTCGCAGCTCTGCTTGTACGACAAGAATACGTGCTCATGCAGCTTTCTTCCTCACCACCACGAGGCCGCAAAAGGTGGGTTCCGACCCCTGACCCACGGGTCGGGGCCATCAGGGCACGTTCCCGTAATAACACCACAGACAACACTCTATAAAGAGGAGACGAAACGACTGCAGTGTGGTACAACGCGCGAACCTGTTACCGCAAAACCTCGATGCCAACGATGCGTCCCCACGAACCAGCGCACCCCGCGTAGCTGTGCCGCATTCCCTCCACCGTATCGACTGACAAGAACTGGTCGGCAGCCGCCCTGCACGGCGCCCTGCGGCCCTCACTGGGCCCTCCCGCGCCCCATGCCGCCGCCGCTGCCCCCTCCCGGTGGCGAGGAGCCGCCCGAAGCCGCCGCTGAGAAGCCCTTCACGTGCACCCTGAGGGGGGGGCAGGCCGCGGGGGGCAGACGGGAGCGTGCATGGGGGCCCAGGGATAGCGAAACGGAAAATGCTGCCCGTGACCACGCAAACTAGGCCCACCTAGCGCGCTGTCGGCTTTGAGACACCAAGCTTCAGCTGAATATCCCGTTTCAGCTGACTATCATCCGGGTCCCCATGCGTCTACAGCCTCCATCCCTCACCCAACGGCAGCCACTCCCCTCCCAGCCTACAATTCCCTAGCGAGCCTGCAAACACATGCCCCTCCCCAGCAATCACCTCCCCCCGCCCCACCTGTAGTCCAGCGGGTAGGACCGCAGCAGGCGGTGCATCTGCGTGCGCGGCAGTCCGCAGCGGCGCAGGAAGGAGATGACGCTCTCGATGCCCGGCCCCAGCACCAGCGGCCGCGACAGCACCAGCGCGCGCAGCGACTCGGGCGGCACACCCAGGCTGGTGAGGTAGGCCACCTGGGGGCGCAGCTGGGCCTGCAGGGCGGGGAGGGGAGGAGGGCCGGTGTGTGTTATACACGGCAACGTTGTTAACGGCTACAAGCAGCATGCCGATATACGGTAAGCGGGGAAGCCACAAGTTGCCGGGGGCTGTCCCTCAGCGCGACTCCCACACAAGGTGCGCGTGCAGCTCTCACACCCCCCTCACCTTGACGTTCATGCCCAGCACCGCGGGGAAGCGGGTGACCACCGCCCGCACCTCCGCCGGCCCCAGCCCCACGTCGGTCCGCAGGAAGTCCACTGCGGGCGCCGCATGGTGGTCGGTGGACAGCTGGAAGGCCTGGGGCGGCAGCGGGGGTTGGCGGGGGGTGGGAAGGGAAAGGGAGGGCGTGTGTATGGTGCCAACAAGAGGAACGCGCGGCACATGAGGAGGGATGAGGAGCGGGAAGGTGAGGGAATGTCATGGGGTTCGTGACGGGGTGGGGTTCTGATCCCTCAGTCTGCTTGTGCCGCTGGTCGGGGTTGTCAACAGGCAACAGCAACACAGGACGCCAGTCCCCAGCGCACCTACCTGCGGGAACGCAATGAGAACCTTGCCAATGTCGCTGCCGGTCAAGCCCAAGTTAAGTAGCAAGTCCAGCATGGCGTACAGCCGTTCCGTGGTATATTCCAGCAATGCAGGCTCCAAACAGCTCGCACGATGAAGGTCATCCTCAGGTACGCCGATGCTGAGAAACGCTCGACGCACAGGATGGGGTTCTATCTGTCCCAAATTGTTCATGGCGTAGCAGCGTGTTTTCCTCCGCTGAATTCGTAACTGGTCGGAGGCAACCCCATGTCGAGGGTCCAATCTACGTCGAAATGTTGGCAATGTTGGCTTCCGGATAAAGGAGCTATTCGAAGATAGGCTATGATGCATCGGAATACGCAAGCAAAGGTGTTGCATTGTTGCGCCTGGGTCAACGGCCCGTTGATGTATATTGGGGTTTCAATAAGTAAGCAAAAAGGCCAAGAAGGGGACTTTAGCTACCTAAAATGTTATATCCCGACGAGGATGTACGTTGACTTCAAGGGAATGAAGCATAATATGACGGCAGCGTCGAGACGCGCTACGATAAAAAAACTTCCGCAAGCCCAGCAAATTAGCAGAAACAGCAGCTGTTTGTATATGGTGTCGGTATCGAAGTGCAAATAGTTTCACTTACACGCTTGAGGACAGGTTGGATCCGTCGTGACGCTTCATGACAGATGAAACACGGCAAAGTTAACGGCCAACAAAGCAGGTTGTAATCCCTATCAAACCATGATCCTTAATGCCTCCTTTAGTCACCTTCAATCCCCAGACACAAAAGAAAAACCTCGACTTCTCCATCTGCACTCCCTTGCACCTAGCTATCCTCGACGGCCCTCCAACCCCTCATCATCGTCGTCATACAGCAGCACGTGTCTCGCATCGTCACCATCACCGCCGCCGTACGACTTCACCAAGCCGGCAAACGCCGCACCTCCGTCGTCCTCCCCGGCCGCCGCTGCTGCTGCGCAAGCGCTGAAGGCCACCTCGCTGCGCTCCGCCAGGAAGCCGGGGACCATGCAACACCTGATAACATAGGGGCAGTGAGGGCAGGGTGCATGCGAGGTGGTGAGCGGGGGCATTCGACCGGGTGCCATGCATTTCAATGGTGCCCCCAATACCGATATGGGCCAGCACTGGAAGCCGAGAATGAGCCAGTTCCCCTCCACATACCGGTATCCTCGACCTGAACAACGCTAAACGCATCCCCTCTGCCTGCCTCCTTCCCGCACCCTTTCCGCACTCACCTCGCAGCATCCAGCATCCTCCGCGCCACCCCCCGCCGCCTGCTGCCCGGCTCCACCCACACGACCCGCACACCCAGCACAACCCGCACAGCCGCACAGCCGCCCCCACTCGTCCCCGGTTTCGCCGGCGCTCCAGCAGCGGTCACCCGCCCAATGCCCCTGCCGTCGCTGCCAGAGCCATCCCAGCCCACGCGAACAGGTGTTGCCATCCCAGCGGCCGCCTGGGGCGAGCGACCCGCAGGAGGGCTCGTACGCAGTCCCCCTTCCTTCAGAGCAGCGGCAGGACCCGCTGGGGACCCGCTGCGGGAAGCAAGCCTGCCTTCAGCCTCCTCCTCCTCCTCCCGCTGGCTCGTCCGGCTCTCATGCACAAACTGACTGCATGCCGCCGCCCGGTCGCCTCCCCCCACTCGCTGTCGCTTGGCGGGCGACTCTTCATCTTCTTCCAGCGACCGAAATGACTGTGCTCCCTCCATGGAAGTCTCCGCCCTCGGCTCCGCTGCTCCTACGCTCCCATGAACCGCTTCCGCTGCCGTTGCGCCCTCCTCCTGCTCCTCCACTACTGCTCCTGACTGCCCTCCAGTGCCCGGCTCCTCCTCCATGCCGATAGCTACCCCTGGACCTACACCAGCGCCCTGGCTGCCCCCCGGCCCCGGCCCCGGCTCCCGCCCCGCTGGTCGCTGCTGCTGCCGCGGCGGCCATGCCTGCAGCCGCTGCGGCGGCGGGCTGGGCTCCGGCAGCACGCAGCGCCGCGCCCGCTGCTGCAGCTGCGCCACCAGCACTCCCACTATGCGGCCCCGGGCGCTGCTGCTGCCTCCGGCTTTGGCGTGTGCAGCCGCGCTAGCAGAAGCAGCCTCTGAGGATACCCACAAGAAGACCTGCATGCATGCGAAAGAGCGGAGAATGAACGCCATGCCGTCATGAGGGAGAAGCAACACTTGCAGCGCAAGGCAGCGTACAAAGCACCGGTCACTTCTTTCAGCTGCATGTTCATCGTGTCTCGCCGTCCAGCAGCCCCGTACGTCATAACCCAAATGCGCATCAGTACCGCACTGTCTGCCGTACCTTGTAAGCCGGCTTGGGCGCCAGCAGGTGCCCGCCGGGCACCCCCAGAAGCTTTTCCAGCCGCTCGCACACCTCTGCAACCTGTACGACAACCGGCAAACAGTTGTGACAGCCGGGCAGGCAACCATTAATCAGTGCCATCCAAAGCGGAACGGGGTCTTCAAGAGCGACCCACATCAGAACATGTCACATGAATGACGCATATGGATGGATACATTCAGCTTGCGGCAGCCATGCCCCTGCAGCCGCTCCCAACAGGCCCCACCTTCCTGAGCTGTGCGGCCGGGTCTCCAGGCAGCACTGCCAGCAGGCGCGCATGTGAACCGTCACGTAGCACCACCCGCTCCGTAGCCCAACCCTGGAGGGAGGCAACAGCATGTGGGTCGGGGTGTGAGGGTCACCGCCAGGGGCCAGCAGGCGCCCGATAGCATGCACAGCTCGATAGCCGGACAGCTGCCGACAGCTGCCGTACCTGGAATTTGAATGCCGCGGCGTGTGCGTTGTGGAACTGGTCGTGCAGGCGGTCCTCCTCGGGCAGTCCCTTGCCGTACAGCATGCCGCAGGTGGCGCAGGTAGCAACCGCGAAGTCCCGCTGCGGGTGCGATGGGTGACAAGCAATGGGAGGCGAGGTAGGCAAGTGAGGACCCTAATCCGGAGCCTGATACCAAAGGCACTCGGAGGGGAGAGATGGTTTGCAGAGCGTCGTTTCCAGACAGCAGCCCACTAGACAGATAGGTACTCCAAAGGTTCCATTAATGTGGCCCACGAGGGATTTGTTGCAACATCTACGCTTCAAGAACAACGCGCAAAGACACAATTGGTCAACCCCTGGATAGGTACAGGTGGCGTTCAGCCACGCGATATCACTACACCAGCTACCTGTCCCAAGTCCAGGTGAAGTTGCGTGCCGCGCGCAGCACGCATGCCGCATGCTGATGTTCGGGTGACTGCAGACTGTCTGCAACAGAACATTTTCTTTATGCTGTAAATGGTATTCTATACTAACGCAATTTTGTAAGCAGCACAGTGCGTGCTCCGGGAAGCGCGCAAATGGCGGGATGTTCGCCAGCCGAGGCCAATTGGTTGCCCTAAAGCGAACAAAAATGAGACCCAAATGGACTAAGTTATATAGACTCTTGCCTTGTCGCGCTCTGTGCTTTTACTCCTTCTTTTCTGCGCCTTGCACTTCCCATCAGGACAGAGAAAGCGTCGCGGCCTTGCATATTCTCTAGCGCCTCACCGCTTCCTTTGATTTTCTAGTTAGATTAGCAAGTGAATACTGCTTATATCTATGATATTTTGTTTCCAAACGCTGTTAAAAACAAACACGGCATGTAGGGTGTAGTACATTACATGTCACCGGGACGGCGATGCGTGATGAGTTCTTCCAGGCGAATCAACGCCCCAGCCTTCCTGGTGTGGCCTTGCGTAGTGTCTTCAAGACGGGCCAAACAGCGTTTCGGGCCTCTTTGACCCACAGGTCACTCCGCATGCCCACTCATAAGGATGCATTACATAAATGCAACCATGTACTTAATCTCCACATCCACCTACGCTTTAGCATTTATACTACGTATGTTCTCCGGCAAGCCCTACGCACAGAGTTTGCAAAGCAAGGCTCATCAAACTAAACCATGCGGCTGCATATCAAGGGAGAACACCAACAACTCACAACACCCCTTATGGAGTTCTGATGGCAGTCTTATGTCGGTTCCACTGTCCCATCATGCTTAACAGCGCCGTAGAAGATGATGAAGCAACGAATCAACAAGACAAATACAACGGAAGCAAATACAACGACGCCAGGCCTCGGGTCGCAAATGCTATGAAGCGGTCCTTATTCTTCATGAGGCCTGAACTGCCGCCTTGAGCTTCTCGGCCTGCGCATTAGTCGCAGTGCATCACCAGCACCGGCGACTTGCAGTGGTGCGTGCAGTAGTTGCACACGCTGCCCACGAAGAACTCCTGCACGAGCACAAAAGGATGGCCATGGCGCGAAAACACGGCAGGGCGGGAGGGAAGGATGGTTACAGTTCAGCGTAGAATGACAGATTTGACCAACCCAAATGAAACTGTAACATGTGCTGCCACAGCCAGCTACCCCCCATGGCAACGCACGCGAGCACGCAGTTAGGAAGGTTCGGGAATTCCACTATCCGTCAACACGCCCCCCGCCTAGCCACAGCGCTGGTCTTCCTCTTTACCCCACCCCACCTTGATGGAGCCCTTGTTGTGCTTGGCCATGACAACGCAGGATGCCTGCAGCTGCTCGGCGCGCTTGCAGATGACGGCGCCGATGGACTCGTTGTCGGTGGCGAAGCGCACCAGCTCCACCTGGTACGGCACCTGGGGTTGCGAGAAGGGAACAGGAGGGAGCAGGTGTGGAGAGAAGAAAGAGAAGAAACATGCCCTGCTGCATACGGTGCCGTATGGAAACGGTGCAAGGCAATAGCCATTGAAGCAGCCAACAAAGCCTTATCGACGGGCGTGTCTAGAGGACTACGCCTCCATGGCGTCCGTGCAGGTTTTCCTTGTACAGTTCGCTGCAAACTTACGTTCTTTGCCTGCAGCATGGGGACGAACTTCTCCACCAGGATGCTGCGGGCCTGGTCCTCTACACGCTTCTTCGTGGCCTGGGGGATGGGGTATGGAGAGTACAGGCTAGGTAAGAAAACCAGGTAGGTATCGGGCCTCTGTTGGAGTGTAGCGGCAACAAGCAGGGCAACGCGTTGGTACCGACATAGCTACGGCTAAGCCTGTAAGACATATAAGCGACAATCAATTGTCTCCAAAAGTTAAAGAGTTAATTTAGGACTAGCGCCCGCGCCCGAGGACAACATCCATGCATTGAAAAGTGTCCGAGGGAGGAGGACATGAGGACAATACTCAAACTATAGCATCCGCAGGTGCTCACGTTTTGAAAAGGATACATACGGACAGCAGGGGCGGGGACAAATGTTCCGTTGCATTCCTATTAAGGACCTGGTGAAGCCAGGTGGGGATGCCAAGACAAACCAAGACTCACTTCGTCATCCTCAACAACCTCTTCCATGCCAAGATCTGTGGAGAGGACGACATACTGGCCCGGCGGGATGACATGGAAGAGATGGAACTCGTCGCCAGGCCTGTAGAGGTTCTCCAGGGCCCACTCCAGGGTCCTCTGGCTGGCCTGCAAAGAGATTGGCGAGGCGTAACCGGGTTATCAGCAAACGGGTAAACGGGTAAAGGTCGATTTCCGACACCTAAGCACATGACTTGTCTGAAGGCCAAAGCACCTGAGAGTCGTCGATGGAGACAAGGATATGACGCTTAGGAAGCCCCTCCATCTTTCGGTGAGCCTTCAGGCGAGCTTCGGCGCGGTTATATTCCAAATGTACAGGGGTGGTCCTTTCCGAAGTAAGGCAAGGTTAAAGAAACATTACAATATAACGTTTGGATATATGTAAGTACGTTACCAAAGAGGCAGGAAGTAAGCTTTAGATAGGAGGAGGCAAAAGCCAACCGCCTTGTATCCGTACACGTTGGTGGTTCTGAACCAAAGTAACTTCCTGGCCGATAAAGAAGTACCCATTTGCGCACAATATTACTTTGCATTGCAGTTATGAAGTGATCGGTGTGGAACCCCGTCGCGATAGGTCGCCAAGAGCTTGACGCATTGCCTTGCAAACTTCATACTGAAGTCCCACTTTCGCATTCGAGCTGAGATAGCTCTGCGCACAAGGAAATGGCGCCCGAATCGTCTGCATCGTCGGACCTGGCGGAGTACATCCTCTCAGGTCCCCTTCTAAAGTCATGCGCCATTTCTGCTGAGTCAGTGCGCTCAAATATCGCGGAGTGGGAGCGGCTTGGGAAACTTTTAGCGTCACAGCTTGGGTTCGAACACGACCACATGGACCTAGTGCAGCGGTGCGTTGGGCGTTAAAGGCCACAGCAAGGCAACCGTATACCGATCCGCCCCACTTGCCTTCCCCCCAGCTTAAGCGAATATTACGCCCTCCTCCCCTGCTTCCCAGACTGCGTGTATACCACTACTACCTGCCGGTCTACTGGTGGGTCGCAAGGCAGCTGGAGCTGCACCGCCAGAGTGGCGCACGTACGGCCATGGTGGTAAGACATGGGAGAGGGAAGAAGCGGTCAGGGCCCCATTGTCGCATGAACCATCGGATACCTTGCTCGTCCCCTTTCCTTATCCTCCCCTTGTCCCCATCCTCCCGCATGAACCACTTTCTGCTGCCCTCCTCCCTTCCTCCCTCCCTTCCCTCCCTTTCCCTCCCTCCCAGCTGGGCATCTCCGCGCCGCAGGGTTGCGGCAAGAGCACCCTGGTGGAACAGCTAGCAGCACTGTTCAGCGCGCAGGGCCGCGCCGCCGCCTGCGTCTCCATAGACGACTTCTACCTGCCGGCCGCCGGGCAGGCCGCCCTGGCCGCCCGCCACCCGGGCAACCGCCTGCTGCAGCTGCGCGGCAATGCGGGCACACACGACCTGGAGCTGGGGGCGCAGACGCTCACTCGGTTACGGGAGCTGAGGCGGCCCGGGGACACCGCGGCAGTGCCCAGGTGGGGAAGGGAGCTGCGGGACAGCGGGGTCTGCCGCCCGCTCACGTATCGTGCTTGCAAGCTCACGGATTCCCGGTATACGCTCATTTGCCTTGTCGCCCTGTTGGTCGCCCTGTAGGTACGATAAGTCGGCGTTCGGCGGCCGCGGCGACCGTGCCGAGCCCGGCAGCTGGCCGGTGGTTTCGGGGCCGCTGGAGCTGGTGCTGTTCGAGGGCTGGATGAGCGGCTTCACCCCGCTGCGCAGCGAGGCGGAGGCGGCGGTGGTGGACCCGCACCTGCCGGCGGTGAACCAGCTGCTGGGGGGCTACCGGGCGGCGTGGGACGAGCAAGTGGACTGCTGGCTGGTCATCAAGATAGGGGACCCGCAGGTGTGGGGGGGGTGAGGAGCTGCATGGTGGGGGGCGTGCAGGCCCGTGAGGCCTGCGGTCGTGGGGCTGCGGCCACATGGGCGGTATTGCTGCTGCAAAGCCACATCTGGCAACCTGTAACCACCGAATCCGGCCCCATCCGGTGTCTCTCCCCGCATGCTTACCCCATTCCCCGCCCACATCCTCCCTCCCTGCCACCAGTGGGTGTACGAGTGGCGGCTGCAGGCGGAGGAGCGCATGAAGGCGGGCGGGCGGCCCGGCATGAGTGCGGAGCAGGTGGCGGACTTCGTGTCGCGCTTCATGCCCGCCTACGCCGCCTACCTGCCAGGGCTGTACGCGGCGGGGCCCACCACGGCGGCACCGGGGCGCACGCTGGTGATCGAGGTGGACCGGCAGCGCTCGCCGGTGGCGCAGCAGCCGGAGCCGGTGGGGTGAGGAGCGGTGGGCGCGGCTTGCCGGCTGGGAGGGATTTCAGTTGCGGCGATCTGGGTCATGAGGTATTGGCCGTATTGCTGCCTGTGATGACGGCGGCAGGGGGCCTGTAACAGGGCCCAAAGTGTGTGGGATCATGCGCATGCGCCGATGCAGGGATTATGGAGTGTTGGGCTGGAAGCAACATCAATTAGGGAGGAATGCCAAGGGTGTGGCATGTTGCTTCTTCCTTCCATATACTCGTTTGTCCCACACGGGCGTTATGTAGTCATGCAGGCGCATGTTTGATCGCCATACGGCCAGTCGGCCACCTGGGGACGAATACGTAGGCTGGGCATGTGCGTGGATGCGAGCATTCACGCTTGGTGTCAAGAAGTGGTCAATTGTATTTTATTTCTAGGGTGATAATTTGGACTGCAATAGCCTCGCGATGTGGAGTATAGGCTTTGGTGTTTTGTATCCGGGCACAACATGTGTTTTACTGCCGCGGGTTGTACACATAGGTTGGGTAGCAGTCGCATAAGCACTACCCCCACTGCAGCCGTTATGGGGCCACGCCACGCTGAATTGTTCGCATGCGTCCATGTAAAGTCAACCAAATTCGCATTAAAGTGCAGTGCGTCGAGCGTTGGCGGTCTTGGTGACTGTGAGTGTGAGGGTTTTATAGATCGGGTGGCTGAGGCACTGAATGGAGTACCTTGCTGGGGTGATCCAGCCAGTACGGTGGGTCAAGCAGCTAGCGCTCTTATGCTTTCTTCCCTGGCAGTGAGGGTGATTCGATTATTTGTGCTTGACGGGCATGGCCATTGATATGACAGTCTTGACAGATGAAGCCATATAAATGCTGTGAATGGGTCGAATATGGATATAGCGTGTTACGAGTAAGCTATAGCAGAAAGGTCTCCATACCGCCTTTAACTAGACTCTCCTTCGGGTCCTTCAGACCCACGGGGCTCGCAAAAAGGCAAGTACAAGCAGCCAGGAGAGGTGGAGGTTCTTACGAGGCGAGCGAGGGGTGTTGCGTCATGTGGGCAATACTATGCGCGTCACAACTACATGGTAAAGGGATTTTCAGAAAACGCAGTAAGGGTGGCAAGTGCTTCTGGTACAAGGGAAAGCAACAAGAAGCTCCTGGGAAGAAAGCAATAGAGGGACTGTTGGCAGATGCCCTGAGGGAGAAGCAGACCTGGCCTCAAAGCCCCTAGATCCGAGCCTACGACAAGTAGACCACACTGGTGCCCACCCAAAGGACTAAAGCTTTTCAGTAGATGTCCGTCCGCATGCCGTGGCCGAATCTGACAGCTCTGAAATGTGCCAGCTTAACTCGACATCGCCCGACTTTGAAGCACAATCCAAGGAATGCATACGCCATGTGCCACAAAGAATAGACGTTGAGCAAGGCGCGCGAAAAAACCGCACAGGCGCCAGCTAATTTCCTGAAGAAGAATTGGATTCCTTTCTTTAGCGCCAATAGTAATCGACGAAGTGAGTTTCAGCATATAGGCTGCCATAGGTAGCGCGGCTGGCAAGGCATAGTAACCGTCAATATGCGCGGGAAACCGGGCAGCCGCGCCTTTACAGTTCAACTATCAGGCCGTGACGCTCCTGTCGAAAGCTGCAAAATGGGAAGCTATCACATATATGCATGCATCCTTGCCAATCGCCGTGTCATCCCTGGATCCTTAGAGCGAAATTTCTTGTAATTTAGTGTACAACAGTACGACTACCCCCGAGCGCGGCCCTACATAACCTTTCGCTCGCAAACACAAATTCACACAGCTCCTTGATCCATACTTAACTTATTAAGACCGGTCCTGAAGCTTCTCCCTCTGCTGTGACTTCAAGTTCGAGGCCGCGCCCTCGCCTTCCCGTCTTCGTCTTCCCTGTCCAACTTCCACCATGCGTGAGATCGTCCACATTCAGGCAAGTTTTCTGGATTATAAGTAGTGACTGCGTTTATTGCGCGTTAGTCCCTCCTGCAGATCTTCACAACATTCATCTCTGACCCGCGGCCCCTTTGCTTTTACCTCCTCTCCTTGCAGGGTGGCCAGTGCGGCAACCAGATTGGTGCCAAGTTCTGGGAGGTCGTCTCTGACGAGCACGGCATCGACCCCACCGGCACCTACCATGGTGACTCCGACCTTCAGCTGGAGCGCATCAACGTTTACTTCAACGAGGCAACCGGCGGTAAGTCATCCTAAATCGTCATTGATAGCCCGGAATTCTCTTGGCGGCATGGCTTTGAACTTGACGCCTTTGACCGGGACGCGGCCTAACAATGGCACATAGTTCTTTGAAAGTCTCTGCAATTGAGACTTGTTTCACCTCAATTTAACCTAAGAGCAGACGCTTTAGGCAATTGCTTGTTAGTCTTAGTTACCGTAAGATGCGCTTTGAGCCGCGGGTTTGTCCTCCCCTTGGCATATAGTATTTGAGCCCTGTACTAAAAACAAATCATTGTCAATTGCTTTCAGGTCGCTATGTTCCCCGCGCCATCCTTATGGACTTGGAGCCCGGCACCATGGACTCGGTGCGCTCTGGTCCTTATGGCCAGATTTTCCGCCCTGATAACTTCGTCTTCGGCCAGACCGGCGCCGGCAACAACTGGGCTAAGGGCCACTACACTGAGGGTGCTGAGCTCATCGACTCCGTCCTCGATGTTGTCCGCAAGGAGGCAGAGAGCTGCGACTGCCTGCAGGGTGAGTTCATGCACTCTTTGACAAGTATATTTCCTGGTATAGGTGACACTGTTCTTGATGTGGAATGTTGAATGGTGCTTTGCAGTACACTGTTGCTTTTTTAAAGCTCCTATCTAACGTACGATTTGCATCAACTGCAGGTTTCCAGGTGTGCCACTCCCTTGGTGGTGGCACTGGCTCCGGCATGGGCACCCTCCTCATCTCCAAGATCCGTGAGGAGTACCCCGACCGCATGATGCTTACGTTCTCTGTCGTGCCGTCGCCCAAGGTGTCCGACACTGTCGTCGAGCCCTACAACGCCACCCTCTCCGTCCACCAGCTGGTTGAGAACGCCGATGAGTGCATGGTCCTCGATAACGAGGCTCTGTACGATATCTGCTTCCGCACCCTGAAGCTGACCACCCCCACCTTCGGTGACCTCAACCATCTGATCTCCGCCGTCATGTCGGGCATCACGTGCTGCCTGCGTTTCCCCGGCCAACTGAACGCTGATCTGCGCAAGCTCGCCGTCAACCTCATCCCCTTCCCCCGCCTCCACTTCTTCATGGTCGGCTTCACCCCCCTAACCAGCCGTGGCAGCCAGCAGTACCGCGCCCTGACTGTGCCTGAGCTGACCCAGCAGATGTGGGATGCTAAGAACATGATGTGCGCCGCCGACCCCCGCCACGGTCGCTACCTGACCGCCTCTGCCCTCTTCCGCGGTCGCATGAGCACCAAGGAGGTTGACGAGCAGATGCTCAACGTGCAGAACAAGAACTCGTCCTACTTCGTCGAGTGGATTCCCAACAACGTCAAGTCGTCGGTTTGCGACATCCCTCCCAAGGGCCTCAAGATGTCGGCTACCTTCATCGGCAACTCTACGGCCATCCAGGAGATGTTCAAGCGTGTGTCGGAGCAGTTCACTGCTATGTTCCGCCGCAAGGCTTTCCTCCACTGGTACACCGGTGAGGGCATGGACGAGATGGAGTTCACTGAGGCCGAGTCCAACATGAACGATCTGGTCTCCGAGTACCAGCAGTACCAGGACGCCTCCGCTGAGGAGGAGGGCGAGTTCGAGGGCGAGGAGGAGGAGGGCAACTAGATGGCTAGTTAGGTTTTTGCGGGAAGGCTTGGTGGATCTCGTTCGGGTAACGGGATAGTTGCTGTCCTTGTAGCATTCTTTTCTTTGGTGCGCTGTACGCAATGCAGTGTAGCAGCCTTTGCTGGTATGGCTTTTTGCGGGCATAGAATGAACGCGTGTATTGAATGGTTTCGCACATATTGACGCGCAGGCGCGCCCTACACCCCTGCATATGACTGCACGGATGGGCGGTTACAGAGGGTTTTGACGTTTTACCGATTGCGTGCTCGTGACATGAACATACTCGGACCGGTCTCAACATTGTTTCCTTGAAGGAGTTGGGCCTTCAAATGCCTTTGGCGCGTACATACCCAACCCAATGCTAGGATGACAATTTACGTATTACAGGATTGTTGCCATGCTCATGTCTTAACGTTGAGTTTGGCGTGTCAGGCGGAAGGGGCATATGCCCTAAACGTAAATATGCGACTCGATGATGATGGACATGAGGCAAAGGCCGGCAATCAATTACATGTAACTGTACTCAACACGTTTCAACAATGCCGAAATGTTCCTTTTGCCAATGGACCCATGTCCTTAGCCAAGGAGCCTAAGCACTAAAACTAAATGCTGTACAACCAAATCTGTATCAACCAACTTTGCTACCAGTTAAATCCCAACCTTTCAACGAGTTAACTTCCCCACAGGAGACCTTCGAACAGCACGACCTCTTGCCCTTCGCAAATTGAACCGACTGGTTCCATTTGAATACCAGCACTAACTAACGCCTCGGTGAGCTTGCCGGTAATTTCATTACTACGGTCCTTGTGTGCCAACAGCAAACGACATGGCATGGGTACTGCAAGCGACGACAATCTGCATGCCGCATGGCGCAGTGCGGCCAGGATCCCTGCCAGCGGCTCCAATTGTGCCTTCGAATATACCAAGTCAGCACCCACGACATAACAACAGTTGCTGCCACTACTCTCGGAACTTGGGTTGCAAGTTGACTGCAAGGTCTGCGACGCAACCCCTGAGGTACCTTGCTCTGCCTCGGCCATGGCCACATTCATACCACAAGCTAACCATTCGCCTTGTCCGTGGATAAGCCACTCCGCTGCAGTGTCGACGTCACGCTGGTCATACGCTCCCCAATCCAGTGGCCGCAAGCCTAGCCAGCCGCCACTAGACGTAATGACGTTCATGTTGGCAGCTGCACTTGCCGCCGTCGCTGCTAGAACCTCAGGCATGTCCGTTAGCATGCAGAGCGCGCCGCACGCCGCTGCTGTGATGCCCACTATGCCGCTGCTGCCGCAGCCCAGCTCTAGCACTCGACACCCTGCAGATGCACAGCGGTGCGGGGTGACAGCAGCCCGGGTAGCGGGTTTAACGCTGGGAATGCCTTTGCTGGCTGGTCCGCTTGGTCTGTTTAGGCGACAAACAACAACTTACGTTTCATATTTAGGCAGGTAGGGTAAGGTGGGAAAGCAGCTGGCAGGTACTGCACCGCAACACGCAACCTGGCCCTCGCCTTCGCCTAAGGCCATGCATGCACGACTTCATGCGGTCAGGAGAGAACCCACCTGCAAGCCGGCCACTGCCTCCCCCGCCGCCGCCCAGGGTGCACCCGCCAGCGCTGCCGCCTCCTCTGCCGACGGAGTCACGGCTGCCGCACTCGGACTCCCCACTTGCGCCGCTCGCGCCCACCTGCCCCGCTGCACGCTCTGCTGCACTCCACCGCACCAGGTGTGCTGCCAGCTGGATGCCGCACTCCCACACCCGCCGCCCGGGGCCTCCGCCGGCATGGCCTGTGGCGGACCGGGGAGAGGGGGCCGTTGCGGGTGGCGCAGGTCTACACAGGTGACACGCAAAACTCCTGTATGCAGCCACACCCCAACCGTGCAGATGTGCTTGGCATCTCTACCTCCGCAGCGCGGTGCCGCCTTCGTCAGAGGTCTAGCTGGCCATGCAAGGCGACAGCTTGCTCCTGACCACCCCTTCCACACCATCCCCGCTTCCCAACGCGGACCACCCCCCACCTGCGTCCTGCCTGATCCGCAGCCCAGGCAGCCCCACGTCACGCGCCAGCTGCTGCTGCCACAGCTCCGACACCTCCTCCAGCTCCCGGGCCACGTCAGCAACCAGCTCCGCCGCATCCGGACTGCCGTACTCCTCCTCCTCCTCCTCCTGTCCATGGTTGCGTTCGAAGTCCGGAGGGGTTGCTTGCACGGCAGGGCGCTGCGGCGGCTGCCCGCTGGAGCCCCCTGCCTCGTCGGGGCTAGGCTGCCCGGCGGGTGCGGCGCGGCGGCAGCTGCAGGGCCCGCAGGCTAGGGCGCCAGCACCGCTCCTGCTGCTGCTGCGGCTGCTGCTGCCGCCGGACCGCTGTGCCTCTAGGAGCTGCGGGCAGGCGGGGATGCGGTAGGGAGAGCTGGTAAGGAGAAGGAGAGATGGCAAGAGACATGGAAAGGCATTCTAGCCGTTAACTGGAGGGGGCATGCTTGCAGTGTTTACCGCGCCGGGGTGGTGAGCCCTTGGCGAATTGGTAAAGCTTGGTAGCTTGCCCACTGATCTCTTTCCCTCTTGCCGCACGCCCGTGTCCTCACGCCCCAGCCAGCCCACCGCCCCCCACCCCTCTCCCGCCCTCTCCCGCACCTGCTCCGCCGCCCTCAGCGCCCGCAACGCCTCGTCCAGCAGGCCGCAGTTGCGCAGGCAGCGGCCGTACGTCAGCAGCCCCGGGACCCACTGGGGGCAGGGAGGGAGGGGGCAGGGTAAGAGTCCGTCCTCCGAGTCTCACCTCAGCCCATGTACTGAAGTACAGCTCCAAGGGCCCACCGCACGCGTGAACATCAGTACGGCATCCCTCTTCCCAGCCCCCCGCCCACACCCACCTGCGGCCTCAGGGAGACGGCCTCCCCCGCGTGCATCAGCGCATCTTGCCACAAGCTCCCCTCGCCGCCCTCGACACATGCCTCCACTTCCGCCCCGCCGCCCTCCCCCTCCCACTCCGCCTCCGCCCCCAGCTCCATGAGGCACTGCGCCAACATGTCATGTACGGCAGCCACCTGCTGCTGCCGTACTGCTGATGAGGGGCTGGGGGAGGGGGAGGAGGGGAAGGAGGAGGTGGCAGCTGCGGGTCTGGACGCTGCATCTGGGTTGCTGCTCGCTGCCGTGTCGGGCCCATCTGCTGGGTGTGCCGCGGTCGCCTGCTGGGCCGCCTGGAGGAGGGCCCGACGGAAGAGGCGTACGGCGGAGGGGAAGTCGCCAGCCTCCGCCCTGGCAATAGCGCTGTCGCGGAGGGAGGAGAAGCTGAAGGAGGGAAACGGGTCGGTGTGGAGGTAGGGGGGCGTTAGGCACATGTGGAGGTGAGTGTGGCGGGCAACGTATGGGTGAGTCTGCCGAGACGGCTAACGTGAAGGATTATGACGTTATGATGTATCGGAATCCTTATCTACCTTCTGTCGCTCATGCTTCTTACGCTCGAGAGAGCGACATCTCCGCGACGACTAAGAAATAGGAACGCAAGGCAGCGTGCTGCTGCTTCGATTGGGAGCAAACTAATTGCAGATTACGCAGCTTTACAGTAATGTGCGTTAACTTTTATGAGTAATCTACTGGGTGTACTTGTGTTCGCTGTGGCTGCAATGGTTACTGTAGCTACCCATAAAGCACAGGAAACAGTTTGTAGTTTGGGAAACATAGAAGGGGGAGCCGGCTTACACGCAGTGCAGGCTGTGGAAGATGTGCCGTCGTGGCAGTTATTCGTTAAATACCTTGAGGCGAGATCACCCAATGAAACAAATTTAGCGCTGCTGGCTACTCAGAGGTGTTGCTCATGTGTAATGTGAGAACAATTGTTGGCACTAATACCAGGAAAGAGTGAAACGACGTTTCGTGTGCGACACACAACAACCAGTTGACCTGTGCGCTGAGCAAGGCATAGGCCTTTTACGAATTGTCGTTAGGATGGCTGATTGTGAAAGGAGGAACGAAAATCGTAAAATTGTCAGAGCAGATCGCGGCCAGGTGAAACCCTGTCCCAACGGCGGCCGCTGCCACGCGCGGCTCTCAAGATTCCTCGCAGCTCCGGACTGCGATAAACAGTTCTCATGTTGTTGGTATCCTGCACCCCCGACAGGTATGTTCACCGCTGCCTAGCGGACCCGCCTGGCCGGCTTGCTGCTCACGTGCTCTTTAAACGCTCCTTCTTGTCCCGATCATCCGCTCCAGTGCCAAGAAGCCGGTTTCTCGTTCCTTATGGTTTCATATTTTATTATTTTGCAACATGCAGGTGCCCAGATTACAGGAGCCCAGACTAAGGACGCGATGGAGGTTACCGACAACGGAGGCGGTAAGTGCTGCAAGCAGCAATAGAAAGTCTAAAACACATGATGCGGTGTTCAAACGTATGTACGATGTACAGACCAAACCTGCGCACCGTCACCCCCCCGGTACTCGTGCCCACATCACCCTTCAAGCAATGGCGCCGCTGTCAAACAATGTAACCCTCGTGTGACCTGCTGCGGCATCCGCGCTGTCGCTGTCCCCTTGCATCAGGGTGGTGGTGTAACGCCTGCACCGTGCGATTCAACACACGCGTCCTCGGGAAATGGCGCGGTACAAAACGTAAACGAGAGGCGGCCAACGCAGGAGGCCGCGCAAACAGGGAGTTGGCCGCCCTAGAAGGGGACCAGCAGCGGTGGGAGGACTTCCACACAGGCGACTACGCAAACACACGACGCCAGCGAGCCCGCTGCCCTGCTGCCCAGGAGCAGCAGCAGCAGATACCGCCGCCGCCGGCAACACTGCTTCGGCCGCCGCCCCCGTCACCTCAGCGGCCACCTCCCGCGGTTCCCCCCGCTGCTGCTGCGGCTGCTGCACTGCCGCTGCCGCCGGCGGGGCTGAGGAACCTGGGCAACACCTGCTTCATGGCGGCGGTGCTGCAGGTGAGGAGGGGGAGGGGGAGGGGGAGGGCCATGACCCATGGGTCATCGAAGTGCGCGTTACTTTGTGAGTGCAGCTGCAGCATTACGCGTGTCATTGTTATTTGCCCCTGTCCCTTCCAACCGCCTGCTGCAGTGCCTGATCCGCGCTGAGCCGCTGCAGCGGGGCCTGATGGGCGGTGGGGGTGGGGGCGGGGGCGGCAGTGCGGGAGGCGCCAGCAGCCACACCACCGCGGGGGCTTCCGCGGACCACACAGGGTCGGGCGGGGACAGGCCCGGCGGCGGCAGTCCTGCGCAGCAGCTGGTGTCGGGGCTGGGGAGGCTGATGCGACGGATGCTGGCGACGAGGGGGGGTATCGGTGGTGGCGGGGTTGCGACACCCAGGGTGGTGGCGCCGTGCCGCTTCCATTCCAAGCTCTGCTGCTTCGCGCCGCACCTTTGCAATGAAGAGGCGCAACAGCAGCAGGACAGCCACGAGTGCCTGATGGCCCTGTTGGGGGCGCTGAAGGAGGGCGGCGGCAGCCGGGTACGTACGGCAGACGTGCTGGCTGTGTGTTGGATAGCAGGGAACGAATGTGCAATTGAAGGACGCCGTCACCGCTTAGTTGTATGCTCCGTCCAACGTCAATGGTGGCTAATCGCTAATCCTATTGCCCCTTGCGCTGCTGCATGCAGGATAGCCACCCCGGGCCGACCGGTGCAGAGGCGCCGACCCACGGGTCACCTGCGATAGAGCATTTCCAGGTGCGGCGGGCGGAGGTGATGGGCGCTTAAAACAGTTCACGACACGGTTGAGGAGCACACCCAGCATGGTCGGTTGGGTTTAGGAGCGGGGTTTGACGAGGAGCAGGTACCCCCCTTTCAATGAACCCCACTTACGCTCCGAAGCTGAGGCTTACACCTAACCCCCGGCTGCCGTGCAGGGCCTGCTCCACAACCGCCTGGACTGCCCCCGCTGCGGCCACAGCAGTGTCAGTCACGAACCCTTGTGAGTGGTCCTGCCTCCGGCTGGGTGCATGCAGCTACCTGGTTCTCTCATTGCGGGGTTACCCGTCTTCTAATACCTGTACCACCACCTCACCCTACACCCCTCTGCACCCCTCACGCACGACAGCACCTGCCTGTCGCTGCCGCTGCCTCCACCGCCTCCTCCTCCGCTGGAGCTGCGGCTGGAGCCCTCACCGCCGCCAGCAGGAGCGGCGGAGGCGGTTGGGGGGCAGCAGCAGCAGCAAGCCTTCGTGAGCCTGGAGGGCTGCCTGCTTGAGCTGCTGGGGCGGGAGCAGCTGTCGGAGAGCAACAAGTGGTGAGTGGCTGAGGGGATAAGGGAGAGGGGCGGGGCGGGGGTTTGGGCCCACACGTCCGCACGGGGAGAGCTCACCCGCCCCCTACCTGTTCCCCTCTTACTCCTCCGCAGGAACTGCCCCCGCTGCGGCCCCGTGCGTGCCTTCAAGCAGCTCTTCCTGCACTCGCTGCCCAGCGTGCTGCTGCTGCACCTGAACCGCTTCGAGGTGACCGGCAGCAGGTGGGGGTGGGGTCGAGACTTTTGTGCGCGCCCCCGACAAGAGTATGTTTAGCAAAATGAATCATGTTCCCCCCCATTCCCTCTCGCCCATGATGACCCATGGGTCACCCAGCCTCACCACCAAGCTGACCACGCGTGTGGAGTTCCCACTGGAGGGTCTGGACCTGAGGCGCTTCTGCAGCCAGCAGCAGGTGAGGGAGGGGCGCATGTCGGGAAGCCGCGGCGGCGCTTTTCGTATCCCGCTCTTGCTGCTGTCTGCTGTTGAGCTGCTCCGGGCGACACTTCAGCTAAACGCGCAGTCCACTCATTATCCCGGTCTGCCCCGCAGACCGCCGCCCCCGTGTACGACCTCTTCGGGGTGGTCAACCACCTGGGCGGGAGCCTGGAGGGGGGGCACTACACGGCCTGCGTCAAGGCGCCGCAGCCGCAGCAGGCGGCAGGGGCGGCTGCGAGCGCGATGGGGGAGGATGGGAGGTGGGTACGGAGTAGCTGGATGTTGCCATACGCTGGAGGTGCGCGCTGATGTGCACATGCGTCAGTCCCTTCCTCACCGCCCTCCCGCCCTCCTCCCCTCAGCTGGTACCACTTCGATGACCACGAGGTGCAGCCGCTGCAGGCGGCCCAGGTGTGCAGCCCCCCGGACGCATACATCCTGTTCTACCGCCGCCGCCAACCCGCTGCCGGTGCTGCTGCTGCTGCTGGTGCTGCTGCGGCTACTGCCACCCGTGCTGCTGCTGCTGGTGCTGCTGCGGCTACTGCCACCCGTGCTGCTGCTGCTGGTGCTGGTGCTGCCGCTGCTGCTGCTGCTGCTGCTGCTGCTGCTGCTACCGCTCATGGAGGAGGAGGCTACGAAGGGGACGATGGTGGCCAGGCCACCGCTGGCGCTGACACCAGCAGAGTGGATGGCGGCGGTACGTTGCACAGCGGCTGCGGGGGCGGGAGCAGGAGGCCTGGTAGCACCTATCCGCCTCCTCCTCCTCCGCGGCGGCCCCTCAGACGTGCCCGCATACGAGCCCAGCAGCGCATGGAGGCCGCCAAGCAGCCCCTACGGCTGCGGCAGCAGCAGCAGCAGCCCAAGCGGCCGCTCAAGGCACCCACCACACCGGCCGCAGTGAGACCGCCGCCGCAGCAGCAGCCACTGCAACCAGTGCAGGCACAGCGGCAGCAGCCGCAACAGCCACGTCCTCAATCCCAGCCCCAGCCGCAGCCGCCGCCGCTGGCTCCTTCGCCGCAGCAGCCGCAGCAGCCGCAGCAGCCCCAGCAGCCCCAGCAGCCCCAGCAGCCCCAGCAGCCCCAGCAGCCCCAGCAGCCCCAGCAGCCCCAGCAGCCCCAGCAGCCCCAGCAGCCCCAGCCCCCGAGTGCCGGTCTGGGCAACTGCTCGGTGTGCGGTCGTGGCATCAAGGGAGACCGACGCAGGCGGCTGGACGGCGCATCGGGTGGCGGCTGCTTCACGTGCAAGACCTGCTATCAGTACTTCGGGAGGCATGGCACGTACGAGCGGGGGCCGCACGGGAGGGGCTGCAGGCCCGCAGCCGCAACCGCACCCGCACCCGGGGAGGGGGTGCGAGTGGAGGTGCCGTCAGGGGCCCCGCAGCAGCAGCAGCAGCCCCCCTGTGCTGACATCAGCGCCACCATGCGGCGCATGCAGGGCAGCATGACGGGCCTGGCAGCGGAGGTGCGGCAGCTGGTGGCAGAGGAGGTGGAGTGTAGTGGCACAGTCCCCGGGTCGCTCCAGCTTTACTCTACTTAACTAATATAGGCTTGATTGGATGACTTGGTTGACGATGAAGAAGAAGGATTATAGGTTGAGAGGTAGTGGAAAGACTAGCGTCAGCCAGCTTTAAATAGGGCGCCGCCCTGTACGACTCATTCAGATCATCCATTCCGGGATCGGTTACTCGAGTCGCATTGCGAGATCATTAGCGTCATCATAGACGTGGCTACTAGCCTCTTTAGGCGTATGACCCATACTTATATTTCCACTTATAAATCCACCTTGTGTTACAACATTGCCTCCCCCCTTTAAGAGTTTGCGTCCGCGCAACTCCTTTGACGTACAGCTTCTAGCGTTGAAGCCATGTCAGGGGTAAAGTTTGTAGCTGGCTCCCAGCTATTATGTTCGTCCGTGTACCCTTGCCATTTCACAAGGTACTCATCTACGTACGAACGTTTTCCCGTTTTTCGACGACGGTAATCAAGTACCCTTTCAACCGGCAGATAGCTATCTTCAGACGAATCCT